ATCACATACAACTTATACAAATCAAAATAAATATATTTTTACACACGCGATTCGATGCATGTATTGTGTACTTTCAAATTGATACTGACGATCCGTTACGCTGTTAGCAACCTTAAGAATGTTTTTCCTATTCAGAATAGAGGTGTTTTTCACGAACTATATCACAATGTCACCGGTGAACTACATGATGACATAATTGCTGATATAAGAAACTGCACCTCTGAAAACATCACCAAACGCCATTAAATTTGCATGTAAATGATTTTCTCATTTATGTGGATTACAAATTGGCCAAAATTCAATGGGGAAAAAGTTATTGCTTCGATTAATACTCACTTATTTTAATAAACAGGCGGTCTCCGGCTTACGACGGTCCAATTTACAACAATCCACATTAACGACGTTATATAACTCCAGCAGAGATCGATTCACCACGCAGAAACTTGACTTATAACGCATCTTCCGACATGACTCAGAACACATTTGAACAGTCAGTCTGGTTTCCGATGTCACTTGGCGTGACGCTTTTGTTATCCTCACGTGTTTTTGTGAATGTTTACCTACTAAACCCTGTTAAATATGGCCGATAAAAGGAACAAAAATACACCGGCGAGTGATGTTCCTCCCGTTCCTACCATCTTTGGGAAAATAGGGTCCCGATTTACGACGGGGTGTCAAGGAACGCATTGTGTCGTAAAAGCAGTAAACCGCCTGTAAGACTTTTGATTTAAAGCTTTCGTGACTGCAGGGATTCATATTATTGGTTCTTTTGGTAAAGTCACGTAGAAGGGAAATAATAAATAATAAATAATCTTTTTTTATTGTTTTATATTTATATTATTTTATTATTTCCATTCTACGTGACTTTACCGAAAGAACCAAGAATACGCCTGTAAGACTTTTAGGGATTTTACCGATGTATAAACATGGTAAAAACAATAAAAATCGCTAACGGTTGGCAACGAACGTCGACCGACAAAATTCGCGCCGATCAATGTGGCAATGCGAGTGTGTGAACCCGACTGAGCAGCTCAACTTATTTCCCAGGTGTACCCCGCAGAGCGGACCCACAGTAGACTCTCGATTAACCCCCGCTGGTTCATTCATCATTTGTCATGCATCCCCACGAAACCAGCTTGCATTTGTGCGATTCATTTTGCTGGCTAGAGTGTTCATGGACTCAAGCCTTAGGAGGCACATACACTCAGCACGTATGCTGCGACAGATGCGATCGTTCGTCCAACAAAGCTGGTAACAACTTTGCACGCAGTGACAGAGTGTGGTTGGCATGCGACCTGGTCCAAGGAATGAAAAAGGGGGGGGGGGACGTTCTGTCGAATTTTCCAACTGCCTTGGTCCCCCCCCCCTTCTCCAGTCAGTAGGGCCCGGTGTACAAGCTGCACCGTCTGCACACTCGATAGCTACGCCACTGTTCCTCTTACTTGAATCGGTTAACCGAAAGTCTAATGTTCTTCGCCTGAAGCGCAAACCCCACATTATGATGGGACTCAAAAACAGTTAAAATGTGATTACGAATAAGAAAAAAAGCCAGGACTTTAACCAACGCTAATTGCGTAAAGCTTGCATATTTCATCATTAAAAATGGTAGAGGTAAACCGTGAACGCGCCGGCCACGGCCTGTAAGAAACAATCAGAGAACATGAGACGACATCCGTTAACGGTGACACCCAAGGCAGGGTGGAGAACCAATTTTTTTCTTACTGATGGGCGAATAGGACTTTAAAATCCCCTTTGATGGACAACCACACATTGACACACACCTCGCTTGCTTCCGTCACTGCAAGACTTACAAGTCACAGAAGTGACTGGGCCTCACTAAAATTAAAAACAGTTTTGGCAGGTCAAAATCATCCCCCCCCCCGTAGGACCCGATTAATGCAGCCAAGGTGCCTGCAGTGGCGGATAAATATTGTTTCAAAGAAGCGGGTGTCACGTGGCCACAGGCCGTATGTATCGGAATCATGGGCCGTAGGTCGCCCACACCTGGACAAAGAGAATAAATTCAAGGACAGATGTTGAGCAGCAACAGGGCTGTTTAAGTTGCCACGCGGGGCGGCAACACAGCACGATGGTCACAGCAACAGTGTCTCTACTACTGCCGACAGTTGTGAGAACCGGACTTACGGGGTTTTTTTTGCGTTCAAAAGAGGTGTTCCCGTGTGCCGCTCGAATCCATCGCAGGTGACGACCGAGCGTGGATTGACGAGATGTTTTTGGCGACATTTCCGCCCGTCTGTGTTCTCGCATCTTAAGCTTTTATCTTACAGAGAATATTTCCATAGATGCAAATCAGCCCACCGTGCGGACCAATCCAGAAATTTGGTAAAAACGTCAAACTTGCTACAAAAACACTTTTTTTTTATTCCTTCCTCGACAATTTGAACAGCCAATGGCTTAATTCACTGCAGAGATTTACATTTTGAAACCTCTGCCGTGATAACTTTGTTCGGGAAGCGGCGGTTCTTTTTCGATGGGGTTCCGATTCAATCACTGCAAACGTGAAGTTGGATACAATCGGAAGATAACCTCGGGGAGATCGGAATTGGGACCCCCCTTTAACCGGTCGATACACGGGGGGGGGGGGGGGGTAAATAAATCAACGGCGGAGATTGTACGGTTACAACAGAGCCAATTTCACTCGCCGAAATACGTCTCCCAGAAAAATAAAAAGCATTTACGTTGCACAATTCATGCCCATTCTGAAAATTACTTCAAGAAAGACATTTGATTTTGATCAAATAAAAACATGCAAAGTCGGCCCCAGACGAGTGATTGACAGATTGCTACTTCATTGACTGGCTGGCGACTACACACCGACATCTGATTGGACAAAGTAAGCCGGTGTATGGAGTCCTGATTGGTCGGCTGCTGCACAACTAAAATACTTTGATTTTCCTTCCACATTCTTATTTTGACCAAAAAGGTCACAACGCTTTAAAACCATCGAGTGTGGACAAACATATACATTGTAAATGCAAATGATTGAAACTTTTTAAAAATAATAATCTCGGCAAAAGCGAATAAATATGCCACCTAAATAAATAATTAGCTGAAAGCTTTTAATTGAAGAAAGCTCGGAATTCTCATTATCTCTTTATGTACATAAAAAAAAATATTAGAAAACAGGAAACTGTGGGCGCTTGTAGAACTGCCTCCGATGACGTCGGGTTCGCAAGCCCTTTAAGAACAGCTGACGGACGCGCCTGGCATCCACCAACACCAGGGGCCAGTGCTAGGGGGACAAAACTGCAGGTCACAGTCCTGTTCACCGTGGCGCTTCTAGAGGGGAAACAGTGCCGCACTTGAATGATTGCTGAGGAACACTTAACCCCTTTCCCGTTCTGAGGTGTGCCATTCACCGCTGAATTGCGCAACGCACAAGCAGTTCAGCGTTCACTTTATTTAGAGAGGCATAGCGCCGTTGTTTTTAAAGACATTGTACTCACCGCAGAGAACTCTAGTCACACGACCGCACTATGATAGCTGGCGCCAAACTGTGCCAAACTCCCTCCCGCCTGACCTTTTACCTCCGTTTTTGTGCCGATGACGTACGTACGTACACACATACGTCATCGGAATGGGAAAGGGTTCAACGGTACAAACTCCCCGCGGACTTCAAAGCGATTGTTGGACAGATAACGTACGAAGTCGACTCCACGAACACCGAGACACGTTCACACCCTTGCGCTAGGAAGGGCAATATAAAGAGCGTTGTTTTATCTCCTGAACAAATGTGGATTTACGAGAGGAGATTTTTGCACCAGGTGGCTGGGAGTGGGGTTGAAGTTGCCTCGTGCTCGATAGAGATTTGCACGATCGAGAGTCGGCTGGGCCGGTCATGACGAGGGGAGCCCCGTGTCTTAATTTTGGATGGGAAAGTTGACAAAAAAATTGAGCGGCGGTTTCAGGGTCTCGTTAGATCTTCATCCAAGTCCTGAGCGAGTGCTCTGTGCAACATAATAGGACTCGAACGTTCTTGTCAACAGAATAGGACTTAGAAATGTCGCCAAAAGTACGGCAAGCACCTCGCTCTCCATCCGAAAATATGCCACTACCCTGAAAGACAACCTCCGACGTTCAAACTTAACAGCAAAACCACAAAAGTGGCCCTAACCGTTACCACAACACTAACATGCACGAGCAGCCCACTGGCACTGACACCCAACCCTGCTCTCGAACACCAAACACCGCGCTGGAAATCGAGTCACCATAGCCAAATCGTCAACCTTAATCCTAACTTTGTAGCTCTTATCTGAACGATCAGCTCACTGGGACAGCAGACACGACAATCTGGGGCTCATCTCTAAGCGACAAAACAAGGCTCGTCCCACAGTAAGGACTGGACTGGCAACAAGATACATCTTTTTGTTGTTGTGTGCCCCCAACATTCCAGGAAAGAACAAAAAAGCAAACCTTAGCAATGATTTTTACTGCTTGCATATGCGGACTCGTTATTGCAGGTGTTACCAATGGCGGAGCCAGGATTTTCAGGTAGAGGGGGCAACCCCTCCAGCAATGAAAAATGATAGAGGAGTTCTACACTATGGGGACCTCATTTGCCAGTAAAAATATGATAATTGGTTCTTTACCCTTCTATCTGGCAACAAAACTGACACCTTTTTGCAAGGAGTCATGTTTGCATAGACCGCAATACCTGCAGTCATAATACAAACAAAAGAACATAACTCTGATAATGTGCACTGTCCTTGAAGTTGATTGGTCCACACCCGAGACAGCTTTCCTTCGAGCCTAGTCTCATATGGGTTGGACCAGATGACGCCAAAAGGCGCACTAGTGAGTGCGCCTTCTGGCGTCATCTGGTCCAACCCATATGAGACTAGGCTCGAAGGAAAGCTGTCTCGGGTGTGGACCAATCAACTTCAAGGACAGTGCACATTATCAGAGTTATGTTCTTTTGTTTGTATTATGACTGCAGGTATTGCGGTCTATGCAAACATGACTCCTTGCAAAAAGGTGTCAGTTTTGTTGCCAGATAGAAGGGTAAAGAACCAATTATTATGATAGAGGAGTTGTTAGTAAGTAAAGACTTGTCCCTTGCTTTTTATTCGACGCATGTGCGGCGATGGCGCAGCCATCGATCGAGGGTCGAATTCGAACCGCGTTGTGATCGGCATCGCGCTCGCTGAAGGTGAATGCCTTCAGGGAAGTCGTGTCCTGTATACGCAACTGCGCACAATTCTGAGTCACTTATAACTGCTTTGACGTTACTTATTGCCAAATATGGACTCGGACTATTGTCCTATCATCTCATAGAGTCCCTGGCACATAATAATATGTTACACAGTGGCAGTGGGGGTCGCAAAATGCCTATTTATTACTAATAAACCCCAATGATCCGATCGAAATTAGGGATTTCGATCGGATCATTGGGGGGGGCACGTGCCACCCCACCCTCCCCCCCACCCCCACTGGCTCTGCCAGTGGGTGTTAGGATATTATTGGCAACGCTATTCTTGAGCTGCGTCAGTCGCGAACGGCGATTATTACGTCTTTAAGTTTCCATTCGCTGACGATCCAGTTGCCGTGCGAGTTATCAATCTTGACTGTTTATTTCACCATGCAGGTACCCATGCAGGTACAGATATTCCATGCAAGTGGGAGTTGCACTGTATCTTGTTACCACGTATCGAGCGTGATTGATTTCTATATATAATTTTAAAAATCCATAAATTAGGGTATGTGTATAACTGTACATAAATAAAGTAGTTTTTGCAATTTGTGCTTTTACAATCCAGCGCGAGATTTGAAATGGGGATCTATTTATTTATTCAAGCCTGAATCGGCGTGACCTGCGCAGTGCAGACTTGCACCAAAATTCGGTTGCGGATGCAACAACAAAAATATCGGCTGTGAAAAATTCATGAATTAAAAACAAAAGGAAAGAGCACCTCCCACGGGCCAATTCTGAGAATGTTTTTGTAAAATATTTTTTCGCGGTTGAGACATCAGCGAAACATTCACTCATTACACACACGCACACAAAAACACGTGAATTTAAATACTATTAAACTGTAATAATTTAAATAATCTGACAGTGATAAAAAAAAAGTAAAGTTAAAAACTGATCGTGTGGACATGGGTAAACGTTGCAGGTCAACGGAGTTCTGGTTCCACGCAGGAATTCAAACCCTCCCACGAACCTTACCACTCGTCTTCATTTAACTTAAATCGACAGCCTTGTCCTTGTGTGCGTCTTTTTAGAAAGAAAAAAAATCGCACAGTCCAGTGTTATCCATCTAATCTGAAATCATAACAAATAATATTCATTTACTCAATGTAATCTAAACGAGCAGTGTATTGAAAGTGTAAATGAAACATCACTCGATCGGAACCGAGCAATTTTTTGGCGATGTGGAGATGAACAATGTAAAACTCCGGTTCTGTACCTGGAGACAAAATCTGGTGGGGGGGGGGGGGGGGGGGGGGCTGGTTGCTTATTATAAGTGATAAAAACCGGGGAGTGGTGGCCACCTTCCCGTAGCCCGCGGGAGACAAGGGCAGTCGTGTGGAGCGACAGTGCACAGGCCCCCTCCCCCTATTATCCACTCTTCTCTTCACCCTGCAGAATCCCACAACCGCACACGGCGCTAAATCTAATCCCTGTTGAGATTACCTCCTCGCTCCTCCACACCCTCCCTCTGTCCTCCGTGGACGATCTAACGGGGCGGGGGGGGGGATGTAAAGTTCCACCCCTCCAAGCTATGCCTCCTAATGTTTTATTTTAAGAGTTGTGTGGTTCAACGGCACCTGACGAATCCTCAATTGAACTTATTACGCCGATGGTTGGTTAATGCACCGATTTGAACGTGTTGCAAGGGTATCGTTTATTTGTGTGTACAATAGTTTACGCAGTTACGTCAAGGCCAACTGATGTCAATGAGACTGCAGAGATGAGAAGGTCAAAATAAAAAATAAAAAGATTCTTCAATTGAATTGTGAATTAGAATCGTGGCAATTCATCGGATTGTGGGCGACGAATCGCTACACGTCTGCACCTCGCGTCGTCCCTGTTTCGCCAGGTGGTAGAAGTGGGATTGGGATACGTTTGGCTTGCAGCGGTGCGCATGAATAGAAACCGTAAATTGGAAACGTGGGCACGCAATTGAAAATGATCGACATCCGTATCACGAAGAAGAAAAAAAAAACTGATCGGGAACTTAAAAGTTAAATCTTGAGAAGAACATTCGCATTAAATTACTCATAAATTACGCAACACTGAGACACAGACGCACGCGCTCACAAATCGGCCAGCCACACCCCCCCCCCACCCCAGGGTGAGTGGAGCCCAGCTGAGCTGCGCTCGTAAGCGCTCGCCCTCTAAAGGACGAGTATCCGTGTCCTTCGGATCGCCGAGTGGCGCGTTAAGGTGCTTACCCAGCTTTCTAATCTGCGGCACGGCTCGTCCGATTACGATCCTAGGAGGAACGATACGTGTGTCGTTCCGACTGCCGCTTGCGTTTTCGCGACAGTGCCGCTGTGCGGCTCCCCCCGACAAACGTTTCCCGGCTCGTGACGCGTGGGCGCGAAGTCCGACGTTTCGTCACGGGAACCGAATTAATTCGGACGTCGTGCGAAAAAAGGACACGCGGTACAAACCTCGAAAATGCATTGGAGGTCTATTATGGGTGTGTCTCTCTCAGGGTCCCAGGTAAAACTCGCCCGCAGAAATGTTTACGGTCATGCCGGACAGCCCCAGTTGGAACACATTTTTTTTTTTGGCAAGGCATCCTGAAATCTGGAGACATCGTGTTAAGCGTCGGATGGTCCGGTAACCTGGTGACCTCGGTCTGCGTAATCGCTTTGTGGACATTAGATTTGCACGGTCGGTTGCCACAGTTCGAGGGTGTTTGAGGCTACCGGCTGTCAATCATGCTGCCATGCCTGCTCACGCACGCTTATACTCTCCAATAGGCGGTGTGTGCAAGGTGGGGTGAGTTTTTCCAGAATGCCTTGCAGCGTATCTCCGATGAACCTGAGCGTGTACCAATTTGACAACTTGTCTGCAATTGAAAGTGGCTGCCGTCATCTTCCTGTGACTGTAGCAACAAAGGGGTGGCAAAGTGGTGGTGCTGCTGGTAGTGGTTGTGGTTGTGGTGGTGTCAGTAGTTGTGGTGGTGCTGCTGGTAGTAGTTGTGGTTATGGTGGTGTCGGTAGTTGTAGTGGTGCTGCTGGTAGTAGTTGTGGTTGTGGTGGTGTCGGTAGTTGTGATTGTGGTGTCAGTAGTTGTGGTTGTGGTGGTGTCGGAAGTTGTGGTGGTGATTCAAATGGTGGTGGTGTTGGTGATATCAGGTGATCGTGATGACGGTGCTGCTTGCAGTGCTGATGCAGATTGATGCGAGACACAGTGGTGGATGTGCACTAACGCTGATAGTAGTAGTGGTGGTGGTGGTTGTAGTCGGGCCAGCAGCACGCATGCACTCGCCCTCGTTTTCCCAGTGATGTACCGAACTGGCCACCCCCGTCACCACTCGCGTTAAGGTTTGAGTCAAGCCATGCCCCCCACAGCTCCCCACACCCAACAGGAGGTCCAGACGCTGCCCACGGGCTCACGGAACTAACACGCGACCGACGAGTCACGCCCGGGGGGGCGATTAAGCCGCAGGTTCCCGACGAATCGAGTCTCTGCTCACCCACATTAATCACAAGTCCGTGAATACGCCTTGTAGTCGCACTGTGGCCGACTCGATCGACCGATTCGTACCCCTGGCCTCCCCCGATTCAATGCCGCGTGGATAAAAGCGATTCGCGGTTCCGCGGACACGTTTTTGGCTTCAGATTTTCTTTCATGAAACCCGTAAAAGTGAACCCCGTAACCAACACGAGTCGGAGGATACCGCAACGCAATAACACGAGGAGACGCCTGGTCTTGTCGACACGTATCCGTGACCTGCGCCTCTGGTTGTCCCACACGAATTTCGGAGATTTATCAATGATAAAAATGACTTTAAAGTGACTTGCAGGCATGGCGGTGACATGGCAGCGTGATCACTCGAGTGCGATGGTTGCGTTCTTGACGGCCGTTGTAAAGGCGTCTTTTTTTAACTCGTGTCGGCCAGCCCGGGACACACGCTCGTACACCACCTGGGCATGTCGTTACAAGATAAGAGTGGTTTGTTTTTTGCGTTGGTATGTTTCATTAAGAGATGCATGAACATCGATTAATCAATCGATGGCATCCTTGTCAGACGTCTCCCAGGCTCGTGATTCGAGCGGCGTGATTCAAGAAACTTGCGCAGCACTTCATTTAAAAAAGACAAACTAAAATTAACATCGGTCTCCACCGTCAAACTCTAAAGAGGAGTGCTAGGCAGTGCTCTCACCTCCGTTACTGGTCCTGAGCCAGTGGTATTAGAATTCAATTCCGTGTTACTTTGGCAAAGCCCAGTCTATTCCACAAATAAATACACCAACAAGTCGCCAGTGGCTTCACTGCACAAGACAGAGCAGCCTCTCCAGGCGGTGCTCATTCCCTATCAACCCCAGAGTGATGATAACGATGACGATGCCGAGTGAGGATGATAACTAAGTGTAACGGAGATCACGACAGCGAATGGTGGTATTGACGGTGCTGACGACACCGATGATGAATATGAGCGTGACGAGCGACGATGCGCACGGAGGTGACGAAGGCGATGGTGGTGACGACGATGACGATGGGGCCAAGTCAATCGCGACCTCACCAGTGGAAGTCTCACTGCTCTGAACGAGTCAGCTCAATTGAACGCGGCAATGTACTAAATGACTTTCTTTTCAATTATATAGACCACCTTTCTTTGAACACGTATGTTGATTAAAACAATGTACACGTGACGATGCAAGTTTTTAAAAAAAGTTGTGGGATTTTGTCAATCCAACTCAGATCCTAACAATTAAAAAAATTCTGGACGAGGCAACAGGAGCTGGTCAAATCCGGAGGGCCGAAGATCGATCCCCTTCCACTGTCCGGATCAATGCAGCTGGTGGCTTCAAGTCATAAAAACATGCGGAATTGGGAGCGGGATCAAGATCGGGATCGGAGCTGGCGAGCAGAGGTCCAGAGTCCAAGGCCAATGCAGCCGCAGTGATTCAGAAAAAAAATGTCGGGAAGCAACTGGAATTGTGCAAGTGGGCGAGTGTGCGTATTGTGGACGTGTGCGTGTGCATCCAAGTGCTCGGGGTGATGGGAGGTTCATGGCTTTGTACCAATGGAGTTGATGTGGCACCAACGCTGTGCAATGTGGGGCCACGGAATCCTGCGATCAGACCTGCTGTGTGTCTGTACGCCGATCTCTTCGGGTGGGTTGGTGTATTTGTATTTGCGTGTGTGGATTTACGTGCGTCCAGTGTGTTTGTGCATCCTATCTTGTGCTTGCATGTCTATGCATGATTGCGTACGTCTGTGCAGGACTAAACACAGTCGTGTGTTAGTCCACGATACCAGGCCAAACATTCACCCGTCGGTACCACCTGCTGTGGCAGAGCTTTTGCAGTTCCAATTCATTTACGTGGTCAGTAACATCGGAAGTGAGCAGTTAACTATTGGCCGAATAATTAAATCGGTACAACTAAGGTCTGGCTACCTCAGCTGGGGTACTGACTGCTGCTCGGGGCCCATGCACTACGTGTATACCTAAGCACGCGTACATGTTTAGAATTGTGCACGTACGCTTGTGCGTCTGAAGTAAGTGTGAGGTTTTGCGCAAGTCTCTGTTCTCGTGCGTATGCATGTCTGCGTGTGTCCGTACACGTGTGCATTTGTTCACAAGGGTCTGTCCGTAAGCGCGTGCATCATGTCAGTGCGTGCGTGCGTATGGCAGGGGGTGGGGGGGGGTCACGTGACGGCGTGCAGCGCGGCTGCCTCCTCGGGCGCCTGCGTCGTCACGTTGACGGGCGGCCAATCGGGGTCCTCCATGAGCTCCAGCGCGAGGCGCTTGTAGCGTGCTTTGGCCGCGCTGCCGCCCGGCCGCAGCAGCCGCTGCAGGCGCACGCCCAGGCCCGCGTCCCACAGCGTGGACAGCGGCAACTGCAAAAGGCGCCACGCACGCGGCCCAGGCACGCGGTCAGATCGGGTGGGCGCCGGTGGGTGGCCGGTCCATTCAGTCACATTCATTCAGACATAGACAGCTATTGGTCAGCTGGCCGGGAAGGCAGTCCATCCAGTCGATCTGTCAAACAGACGGGCAGACCGTTATTCAGTCCGTCAAGACATGCAGTCAGTCAATCGCCCAGGGAGACGGTGCATTGGACAAACAATCTGTCTATCTATCAGTCCATCAGTCAGCCAGACATTCAGTCGGTTGGTCAGTCAGCTGGTTGGGCAGTCAGCTGTACTACGGCACGGGTTTCCGTGGTTGCAATGGATAGCTCTTCGAAGATATCTTGGGTTGTACCCCGCGTGTTGTTCAACACAAGCTTCTGCACGAACAAGTTCCCAGCAATGTGAAGCGAAACGGTGGACATCATGCGGAGCGGTAGCACGCTACAACCGGAAAACACGTCCGAGTTAGTTGGGCGGGCGGTCCGTTGGGAAGGCAGTTTCTTAGTTTGCCCGTCTGTCAGTCAGGAGGAGATTGCAGATAGACACACAAGGGAGTCAGCAGGGAAGGCAGGCAAGCAAGCAGGCAGGCAGGCAGGGCGTGTGTTTTAACTGGTCATCCACACTCCTGACATGGTGCGTAGCAATGATGGCAAGCCGGCCTGTTAAGTCATTCAATTGGGTCAGAATGTTGACACAGAAACGTGCCGATAGCCACACCAGCCAGTCAGCCATTTGGGTTCGTCAGTCAGCCATGCAGGCGGCCGTTCAATGATGCAACCAGTCAGCCGTGTCATCAGTCAGCCATTAAGTTTGTTAGTCAGTGTTAACCAGACAGTGTTGGTCAAGGCACATGCAGGCGACCACACAAGACAGCGAGGCTGTTAGTCCACTAGTCATTCAGAATGTCGTCACTTGGCAGGTGGCGCATTCGTCATAATGTTCACAAAGGGATATGGCGATAGCCACATCAGGCGGTAAGGGGCCATCCATAAATGACGTCACGCGATTTTGGACGATTTTTAACCCCCGCCCCCCCCCCCTTCGTTACACGACGTCACAAAAAGTCAGACCCCCCCCTCAAATATGACGTCACAAAGCTCTGCCCCCCCCCCCCAAAAAAACAATAAAACATGCTTCAAATCGCTTTTTGATGTGACGTCACATTTCTCAAACCCACCCCCTCGTCACACATCGTCACAAATGTCTGACCCCCCCCCAATAGGTGCGTGACGTCATTTATGGACGGCCCCTAAGTCAGAAAGGCCACATGCACCTTGGCAGCTGTCACACAGGCAGTCGATTGGCCAATCAGTCATCTGCAGCTTCAACAGAGGAACTTGTCAACATTCGTGAAGTTACATAAATAGTTGGCCAAACCAGGTATATTAAAAAATAATGTCATCGTTAATTTAATCATCCAATTCAAAACCCTGGACTTCCCCTGACAATCAATCAAAACCCCAGAGACGGGCACGCAACCTTGCTGCTGTACTGCCACCTACTGGTCACCTCGTAACTCTGCAGTCTGAGCATCGGCTCACGGTGACCGCTCATGTGACCCCCACACCCCCCACCCCCGCAGCATCCTAAAGCACCTTGCAGGCTTACGGCGCGGGCAGTGCGAGAGCGGCTCTAGCTCTGCTGTGATACAAAACCCTCGCATCCGTCTGCGCTCGCCTGCCTCCACACACCCGCACTGACCAGCGCGGCGTGGGGGAGGGGCCTTCACCCAGCAGTGGATTGACAAAACGGCCAAGTCACACGCGTGGAAAACCTCCTAACGTGATCCACAAACCCAACTGCCAATGGATCGGATTAAATGCGCCTGTTCGGCGTCTCTCCGTAAATATATCGCCAATCCGACAGAAACAGTCGATTCGTACCCAAGTGGCAATTTCAGCAGCTGGCCGATTTGTGCGGACGCACCGACCGAATGCGAGAGAGCGAGTGAACGAGAGAGCGCGCATCTCCTGATAATCGCTTTAGCCGAGATTTAGAGCAACAGAGAACCCAGACCCAACTGTGCCACCACCCCTCCCTCCCCTCCCTCCCTCCCTCCCTAACCTAGCCGCCACTAACTATCCAGCACTACCCCACATACTCACAGTCTCCACATACACCTTCTAGATTTGAAGCTTTCGTGACTGCAAGGATTCATATTCGTAGGTTTTTTTCGGTAAAGTCACGTAGGTAAAAAATTTAAATTAATAAAAGTAAAATAAATAAAAAATCACGAAGTTTCGGAGGCAACACAAGCTTCCGTCTTCAGGTGGTACCGTCACAGCATGATAGCTGTATCAAGTGAGGCAATTTATTTATTTATTTTACTTTTATTAGTTTTAATTTGATTTTATTTTTACCTACGTGACTTTACCGAAAAAACCTAAGAATATCCACATACACCGCCATGGCCAGCAGGACAGAACATACGCACGCATGCAGGTACACACGCTGGAACGCATGGGGGCATGGGGGGGAATGCATGCACACAGGCGCGTGTGTGTGTGTGTGCAAACACGCAGGCAGGCACACGAAAGCAAGGGTGCACAAAAGCGTGGGTGGAAAAGTGCTTCTTAGTGCGGCGCATTTTGCAAGCTGCTAAGTTAATGCACAAGAATGCACCCACATGCACAAGCATGCGTGCACACACACAAACACCCGTACATGCTGTGTTGGGGCAGCTTTGCAGGCCGGAACCGCACACAAGAGCGTGGGTGTTGGCCAGTACCAAACTGACCGCCTGTTTCCCACAATGCGGATGTTTACACATGGCACCAGGTACTCATTTAAGGGCGAGTCAACCGCAAGGAGTCTCAAGACCGGTTCTAAGAGCACTTGCCATTGATTTTAGCTATGGTCGGGTATTGAACTCAAGTTTACTGGGATTGTGGCGAAGTGCACAAACCCATATGCCATTGCTCCACCCAATAAAGATAAAGATCCCCCGTATAGCCTTAACAGACTGTAGGGTCAAGTGCTGTTAGCGAGCACCTATGAAGGCCGGAACGGTACACGAGGGGGTGGGTGGCCAGCACCACGCCCGACCACCTTTGTCTCCCAGTGGGAATGTTCACACACTGCACCAGGTACTCATTTGAGGCTGAGTCGAGCTGGGAGAGGCCAAAGATCAGTTCAGATAATGGTCACTGGCGTTGGCCGTGAGCGGGGAATCAAACTCAGGTTTCCAGCAGCATCACACCCCTTACGGACGACCTTTGTCCGCGAAGGGGCTAAACCACCAAAGAGCGGCTCAACACCATTAGAGCGAGACCAGCTGCGCTTGGCCCGTGACTGGAAAATGCTAGCTGACATTGGCCGGCAACTTGTGTTTCCTCCGGAGATCGCAACCACCACCCTAAGACCTGACATGGTGCTCTGGTCCCGTTCGCTCAAGAAGCTCTTCATCATTGAGCTCACAGTACCCTGGGAGGACTCAGTAGATGAGGCTTATGAGCGAAAACATCTGCGCTATGCCGATCTAGCTGCCGAAGCACGGCATCATGGCTGGAACACAGAAGTCCGACCAGTGGAGGTGGGCTGCAGAGGTTTTGTGGCAACATCTACAACCAGACTTCTTAGAGACCTGGGAATTAAGGGCCAGAGCCAGCGTTCGGCAATCAGAGCTGTATCAGAGGCGGCAGAAGGCAGCAGTCAGTGGCTCTGGATGAAGAGGAAAGACCCCAGCTGGGCCCCAAAGTGAGAGGGCCAGGAGGTATGCAGTCAACAATGCTTGACTCAGGGAGGACGCCCCTGCCATGCATAGTCCCATGGGATGTTGGCTATCAACAAGGCAACTCCTATGACTAATTGGGAATGGGACGCAAGCGTAGGATTGATCACCCTGTCGCTGGCCACCTTTGGGGAGGGTGTATAGTATGAAAGGCCGAAACACCCTAGGAACCAAAGGTTCACTACTGACGATGCGCTCCCCAAATTTCACCAGGCTCACTGTTCATGAACTCTTGGAAGTGCTTGCACAAAGGATAGTAACATCTCATCCTGTGTTCTTGGAATCTTCCGCCGGGTTCGTAGGGCGGCACTAAACCACTTCGTCACCGCTCCCCATACACGCACAAGCACAGGCATATACACGCAAGTGGCCACACTTGCACATACATACATACATGCACACACACACACACAAACACTAGCCAAAACACACACACGTGTGGGATTATTGGCGCTAAGTGACTCCGGCACCACTGCCTCTGTGCATGGTTATGGTCACTCCGAGTCGACGTGACGAGGTGAATAATCAACTGACGGGAGCTCATGAAGAGTGGTGAAGGCTCATCATCATTTCAGCTTTTATCGCGCGCAGTGCTCGCCTCCCTCTCGGCGGGAGAGGGCAGAAGACTCGGCGGCGCGAGGAGGAACCACAGATGGGCGAGAAGGCAGCCGGCGCTACCAACAATTGCTCATGCTCTGCACTCCCCTTACATATTAAGCTGTTTTCAGCCAATCGACGAGTGCTTACACGCATGCGGGAGGAGACCGGAGCACCTGTGGTGAAACCACGCACGCAAGGAGGCAAACATCGTATCCCATACAGATGGAGCAGTTGGAGAAGAGTCCACACTTTGCTGTACCACGTTCTGTGGAAAAGCCAGGATATGGCCACCTCGACCGCTCATGGGAAGGGAGTTTCACAACCAAACACTCGCTGCCTCCATGGTGCTGGATTACAGGCGGGTGCTGGATTACAGGCGGGTGCTGGATTACAGGCGGGTGCTGGATTACAGGCGTGCGCCGCCGCCACCACCACCCGGCAAGGCACAGATGGACACACCCAAGGGTTAAAGATCTTCCGCCAACTTGCTATACATCATATCCACTCGACGCTCTGCTCGTCGCACATGCACAAACGGGTACGCCTGCAGAGAGATTGCGGAATGAACGAGCGTACGCTTGTACTCGTGCACAGAATCGTAAAAAACAGAACACACGCAAGCAGACATAACGCGTACGTCACGCTGCGTACGCCGTGCGCGCACGCGGGTTTCCACAAACCTGTCGGTCTCCACGGCGAGTTCGCTGGAGAAAATTTTCCGCCCACTGATTGGTGTTATCACACGCTAAATTCTGCAGGGGACCGTTTCATAATTAGCGACAACAACAATCGACGCAGTCAAAATTCATTGCGAGACAAATGATAACAATGGTGGGATTGCCGATTTCTTAAGAGACCCGACGTATTCTGCACTCACTCTCCCATTCAGTTTTTTTTTTTTACGAGAGGTAAAAACTGATTGTCGATTTCAAAAAAATATACCACCGCTGTATATTTGGAGTTTAACAAGCGATCTGCTTGGAACATATTTACACGCTACGTTGCAGTAGCGTGCTATGCCACATTTTCATTTAGATTTTGCACATTTCTGTGATGTCGGTTACATCGGCAGAATATATCGAGTCTCAGAAATTTTAAATGACGCCATCCTCAACTGACATGACCAACAACTCATCCAGATGTGTTGTTCTCCATCGGAATTTGACAATCACCATGTCCTTTGTTATTGACCATTTCCACATTGCCACCAGCACCACACCTCATCGCCGCTTGTGACCGGTACTCTCAGCACGGTATAGTCCGAGACAGAGTTGCTTAATGGTTCCCCACGTGTCCAACATCTAATATACGTTAAAAATTTGAGTTCTCCGAGGAGAATACAGCTACACTAAGTGAACAATCAAACGTAAGCAAATGTCTTGTTTCTACGTGCAGTCATTGGTGGACTGGACTGTAACCACCAACTCCGTGCTCTTGAGAACCTGGTTTCAATCACGGGTGGCTGAAATCTGAATTCAAGCCTTGGACCTCGAGCAGTGCTGGCTGAGTGGCCGTAAAAATCCATCGAGCACCCAAGAGAGTGAGAAGGACACCCAGCCTGAACGTTCAGCAATGCTGGCTCTAACGATATCGCTATGAGTTGTCAGCGATATACAAATCGCTCTTCTCACAATAAATAATATAATTTATAGCCCACCGTCAACACACCGCTGGACAAAGTCCGGAGCACGCCGTGGCGGTTATAGGGTCGCTGCTTGACCATACTTCACCATGCCGGTTTGGCGTTGGTCAATGGCCAAGGATCATTTCAGATGCGACTTGCGACTGACGTTATAGCCATCGCTGGGAACGAAACCGGAGTCCGACCGCAACGGTTTGGCGTGGCGAATTGAGGAGGGAAGTTAACAAACAGGGCACGGGTTCCAGCGAGCACCTGGTCAAACCGAGCACCGTTGTTGTTCGTTTCGGCGAAAGAGGCTGTGGGACGCTGGTGGAAATGTGCGAGTCGTTTTTTTTTAATAAGACACCAAAGGATGGGTCAGACCAAACGCATCTCGTCACGGATGCCACCGAGTTATCTGTGGATGCATTCGATTCACGGTCATGTGAGCTGATACAGCCATATTTGGGTGGTTACACATGAAGATTTTCTGCTTATATAAATGGTATGTTTATAGCTACGTATATTTTAGCTCCCGTATAATTATAGTGTCTTGTAACAATGATCTTGTACCCAGGAGAGCCTCACCGAGTCTCATAACTCATTTTTTTCAGGAGGGTCCTGGTGCGGATATTTGACAAATTCCTCTCATCCATCTCGACGCGAGGTCACCAACCTTACTCTTTGGTTCTTTTGGTAAAGTCACGTATAAAGAGAAAATAATAAATTAAATACTCTCTATACGTGACTTTACCGAAAGAACCAAAGAGTAATTCCTGCAGTCACGAAAGCTCCAAATTAAGTTTGTCACCAACCTTGCCCCCAAGTCACCCGATTCGCACGTGTGCCCTGCCACGCACAGGCCAATTGGTCCATTTGTAACAGGACAAGGGGTTTCACATTCAGTAACTCGGCTCATGCTTCTTCAAAACAAATCTAACTGAACCACAAACATACCATTTACATAAAAATTATCAAAACATTTGTTTACAGTATTCTTTTTTTTTTAACATCGTCATCACATGCACAATTTCTTTAAATATGTCATCTACCACCACTCCACCCTCTTGCCAATCCTATTCCCAGGCACCTGCAATCATCGTTATTTGTTAAATCGAAACGACAATTGACCAAATCAATGCCCATCGTGTCCGTCACACACCCACAGTAATCGATACTTAAACGTAAAATTTCACCATCACGCAGAGTGTAAACCCACAATCAGTCCAATCACTCTGGCGGCAACAACGGTTACACGTGCGCCGTCTTGTCCATCGATGCGTAAAACGTTCGACTGGCATCGTTTCACGATGATTTGAACTAAATTATTTAGATTTTTTTAAAAATCAATTAATTTTAACACCGTGACTATCATCATCATCAACGTTGATTGCATAATTAAAGATCAAATTTTCAGTCCGATTTCAATTCTATTACTGCGCACCCTGACGGCAATGAGCATCAATATTAACGTAGACGGGGCCTTGCGCAGTGGGTCATGGGATGCCGCACAAGTGCTCGCGTGCGTGCGTCTCGCGTGTGTGCAGGCGCGTAGCACACGGACCGTGACCTGACGGGGGTCACGTTATAACGCACACCCGTTAAGACAGCATGCGGACGGAAAAGTGCGTGTTAGTGCGTACGCGTGATACCAATGCACACACTCAAGGTGCGTTAGAAATACCAGCTTTACATATTCGGGTTTTCGCAACCCACCACGACAGGTCTCTTCACATCGACCGATCTTCCACCTCCAAGTACAAAATTAAGTCGTCATGTTCTGCAATTGCCTGATGATAACGATCGTATTTCGCCCCGAGAAATGCGGCGAGCGCCGAGATTCAAATCAACGTGTGCGCCCTTTGTCAATTTACTGCTGGATGAGGGCCTCCCCACGCCGTGCAAGTCATGGGGGTCATTAGAACATAATCATCACGTCGGTGAGCACGGATTGGTGAAAGTGGGGCGCATAGACGTTGGGGCGCAGTACAGTACAACAATAGATCTTGATGCACTGCATTCTGCTGCCCACAACGTAGCCCAAAGTTAATACCGCGGATCTTAATTTGAATCGACGCGGAACATGTTGGCCAATCATCAGACACGTGCAGTGTGTAACGGCTTAAGGTGTATCCGAACGGAGAAGATTGGTAAATGTGGAAAGATGCATTGTGGCGGTTATCAGTGGAATGGAGTTTGATAATCCCCAAGGTACACGCACGTACATGTAAATTATATGGCCTGTGTGTATGTATGTGTATACATGAAAATGATCAATGCCATGGTAATGGAATTACTGCACAGGGAGGCAATGCACACAAACTATTGTAATCTCAAAGTGTGTCCAGGCTACAACAAAATTGGGAGTCTGCTACACTTCACTGGCAGTAAATTCTTTGGTTCTTTCGGTAAAGTCACGTAGGTAAAAATAAAATATAACAAAATTACTGTGGCTGTTCCACCTGATGACGGAAGCTTGTGTTGCCTCCGAAACGTCGTGATTTAATTTAGTTGTTTTCCTTTTTTTTTTCACCTACGTGACTTTACCGAAAGAACCAAAGAATATGGATCCTTGCAGTCACGAAAACTTCAAATCTAGAATTCACTGGCAGTGTCGATCTCGTGGTGTAAATTCAAGATTCCTGTGACAAAAGCCAGTCTATCCATCTGACTGCCACCGCCGACATCCCACAAGGCGGTACTCCTATTCACCTCACACTAATAATGTGCCTGACCAGGAATTGAACTCACGAACTTCCAATTTGAGTCGACTTCTCGAACTGCGTGGCGGACGGAGGATCAACAGAGGTCTGAACGTGCATCTCAGCGGGTTGGCAGGAATTCATCAACGAGGCCATGCGCACAGGCACACAGCAAGTGCACGTGTCAATGTCAACTCCACTGCTGGATGAGGGCCTCCCCACGCCGTGCAGATCGAGGGGGTTATTTGACCGCAGCTCAACACGCTGGCCTGCGCTCGTTGGTGAGGGCAGGGAGCATAAACGCACAGTACAACAGCGGATTTTGTTGCATTGACCTCTGATGCCCAAGCGCTATCCAGGCGTAAACCTGCTTGGCTTCATGACGTAACGAAGTCGGGTGCATTGCCGGTGATTCGGTCATCGGCGCGCGTAAATAGGCAATGTGCTTGAATTTCCATTACCAAAGAATTGTTCTTGTGTATGCATGCACGAGTGTATAGCTGCACACAGCAAACACGTAGATGTACACAAGCACACACACACGTGTATATTAAAAAAAACGCAGTGCAAAGCATTTATATCAGCTGTAAAAAATTGCAGTGGCTCACTGACAATGGCACAACATTTTTTTTAACCAATCCAGATTTCGAGAAGAAACTATATTATGTGTCATCCCAACCGATGCTTTCCAGGAGCGTTTGCTTTAAAGCACATTTGCCAATGGTCTGTCAAAACAACTGATTGAATCTTTCACGCTGTTTCTTACTCATTTACACAGGAAGCCATGCGATTTTTACAAGCTTCAAGCACACACATAGTAACGTGTATGTGCGCGTGCATTAAAAACTAGACCCACATATATGCGCATATGCACGCACATGCACACATACACGGTGCGTTTATGCATGATCGCGTGTACGTACACAGGCGCACGTTGTATGTATGCGCGCACACAGCCACACCTGCGTGTACAACGGCCGCGCGCGAACGCCCGTACGAATGAGCACGTGGTCCACGTGCACACCCATATGGACGCGCCTACTGTTACTGACCGCGTGTACACGCACGTGTCGGCATGTGCATACGTGCATACGAACGCGCGTGTGCACGCACGGGACGAGAAGAGGGCAAACGTTAATTGGGTGTCTTTAGCGCCCAGCGGTGATTGTTGCTTGTTAGTGGAGGTCACTGCAGATTCGCGCTTCTTAATGGTCGTTAGTGAGGTGAGTATGCGATTAGTGGGGTTAGTTCTGATTAGAGAGGTTAGTGCTTGTTAACCAGGGTTACTATTATTAGCGGGGTCCGTAGAAGGCCCTGCGAAGAGGAGTGTACCGTGCGCTGCTGGGACTCGATGTAGGAGGCGGCGGTGACTACCGATGCCTGTGGGGAGACCGGGCGGCACCGTGTGCCGTGCCCGCAGCCGTTAGCTCAGAGCCAACCGCGCCCGCCCGCCCATTGGCGAGACAGACACACAATTCATCAGCCAGCTAACCAGCAGAGGTCACAATCGGGTACCCGATACCCGGCTACCCGTACCCGGCCGGGTACGGGTACGGGTACCCGTTTGCGACCCTGGTGCGGCCGGGTACGGGTACGGGTAGGCCGTTAGTCACTGGTGAGTAACCGTTTGTCACTCATTTCGGGTAGGGTACGGGTAGGATACGGCTACCTGTACCCGGCCGGGTACGGGTAAGGAATCAAAACCCGTTTGCGACCTCTGCTAACCAGCCAACAGGCTAGCCTGCTAGTTAATTAGCCTGCTAATTAGCCTGCTAATTATCCTGCTAATTAACTAACCAGCCAGAGAGATAACCAGCCCGCCAAGCAACTAGCCAGCCAAAATAATCAACCAGCCAGATAATTAACTAAGCAATCAGCCGGATAATTCAAGTAGACAATGAAACACATTCAATTGGTCAGCTAATGAACTCTAGCCAGCCAGCAAGCTGGCTGAAGGGCTAAGTGATTACCCTATCGGCGAATAAACTAGCAAGTTAATCAACTAGCAAGTCAACGAGCCAATTATCTCGCCAGCTTGCCAGTCAAGCAACTAACAGCCAAATGGTCGATTAAGAACCCTGCTCATTGCAGAGAAAGCTCATTAGCCAGTCAGCTCACGAACTAACGGGCTCGTTGTAAGCGTGCTCGTTAGTGAGTGTGCTTGTTCACGAGGGATCGGTGTGGAGGGTGGGGGGGGGGCAGTCACGAACAGGGGGCATGCACTGTGCACTCACAAACCGCCGCGGCAAAGCCAACAACGCAACAGAGACACGTGACACTTGACAGCGGGGTAGCACGAGGTGTGGCTATCGCTGACGACGACTGGTGATGATGACGACGATGATGATAGTGACGATGACGATGACAGTCGATAGGAATTCGGCGGTGGTATTTATGATGACAGATGTGAGAATGGCTAAGAGTTTCATGATAACATATCAGAGATGGTGACAGATGATGATGATGATGGCAGGGATGTTATTGACAATAACGATTATTTATTGGCGGTGATGACGGGGTGTTAGTGAAGGGGGACGAGAATAATAATAATGCAATGTAAACTATACTCATTAATTAATTATTAAAGATGGTCACCGCATCGTGTGCTTTCAGGTACTCTTCTGCGATCACCTGGAACGCTCTTCCTTCTGATATTAGGAAGCCACTCGGAGTAAATAATAAAAATAATAGAAATAATGATATAAACTAAATCATTATTTTGTTTATATCATTATTTATATAATTTTGTTTATATCATTATTTATATTATTAGTATTATTTATTTATTTGTTTTTTTGCCTACGTGACTTTACCGAAAAACCTAAGAGGATGAATCCTTGCAGTCACGAAAGCTTCAAATCTAGAGCCACTAGGAGCTTGTGCATTTTTAAAATCTAGAATGAAAACTAATTTCCTTGGAACCGCTTTGTGTGTATAGTTTGTTGTCCTCCCCCCGCATCTCCGATTAGCGTGGTGGGCTACGTACGGTGCGAAAGAAGTTCAACGTACATACTTACACATTACCTGGTGGGGGACGATAACGGGATGTTGGCGGTGACGCTGCCGAGTATGACGATCACGCGGTTGGTGATGACGGAGCATTTACAAAGGCGATGCTATTGATGATGACTACGGCTGTCGGTGATGGGAGTTGATGCTGAAGTTGCTCGCGGTAACGCCGGGCGACGATTGGGGACGGGGCAATGATGACCGGGACAAGGGTGTGTACCGTACCGTGCATGCTCGACGGCAACGCGTCGCCCGCCACAAGCACAACTGCAGCAGCCGAGCAAACGGCACACAAATGCCCAAAGCATGCAGTGCATCACGGCTGGGCGCGTGGGTGTGAGCGCATCACACTCACGACGAGTGTGAGCGCATCACACTCACTACAGAAATGGTAACAATCTTTTGTTTTTAATTGATCGGCCAAGAAAGCCCCAACGAGGCAAATTTTTCAGGAGGTTCCTGTTGTTCGGGACTTTCAAATCAATTCCACTTGAGGTTTTTTTCCTTTTGTTTCTACTTCATTGGAGGAGAACCGGAGTGCCGGGAGATAACACATGGATTATTTGTTGAGTTTTTAACCAAAATATTTTGACGCGTTTGAGATGGAACATCCGAAGTTTAGTACTGGATACAGCCACATTAGCCAATGTGGTTTATGGATTTTATTCTGAACAATGTAACAATACTTCAATTTTAATGTACAATACAATTTTGTTGCGGGACTGTGTTTTGTCTTGGTGTGGTCTGGGAATGTTTTTGCTGTTGTTTTAGCTTCAAAATCGATATACAAATGCAATTTGAACTTCTATACTATATTTTTTTTCTATTTAAGGTGCACGACGGCGGTGTGATGTTATTTTTGTCGCTTGGTATGCAGGAGATCAGGGGTTCGATCCAGACCCCTGACTCCTGTATATTTGGAGTTTGCATGTCTCTCCAGATTTAGAAACAAGCGTTTTAATTATTGACATTATTGGTCTGCTGTAAATTTCCACGTGATAAGCGACTTTGTTGAGCAATCATTTGCAGCGAGGTCGCTTCTGAAAAATAAGTTAATATCACCGTGGGCTTTACTTGGTAAGATAAAAAATAGTTTAGTTTTATTTCTGTCTATATTTTTCAAGTTATTTATTTACCTTTCCTGCACTTTGAATTGCTATCGTGTCTCTGTACCGTTTATTGTTGTAACGTTCTGACCCACCCCTGCTAGACGTGTGTGAAAAAGAGCTTTGTACTCCTTCAGATTCCTCCACTATAAATAAAGATTCTGATTCGAAGTGTCAGCAGAAAATATTAAATCCTGCCAGAGACCTACTTGGTGTACTGCCTACTAAAGGCCTGCAGGTTCTACCTCTGCGTGATCCACTAACCCCGGCGAATTATGGGTGTGGTTCGTCATGGCCAGGTCAGCCAGCCAATTATTGTAGGACTCTGCATGTGTATGTCTTCACGGGTGCGGACATCTGTATAGGTGCAATTATGTGTGCCTGTGCGTGTGCCTGTGCACGTGTGTGTGTGCGTGCATGTGAATCTGTGCGAGTGCGAGTGCATTTCGTGTCCATGAAGGGGTTTGCCGTATGTAAGCGCGCATGTATGTGTGTGAATTAGTTTGGGTCTCTGCACATGCGTGTGTGTGTATTGTGTGCGAGCGAGGGGTATGAGGTTGTGCAAGCGTGTGTGTGTGTGTGCACGTGTGTGTACCCAGGTGGAAGTTGCCGGTCTGTGGATATAACTATGTGTGTGTGCGTGAATGAGTGCGTGTGTGTGCGTGAATGAGTGCGTGTGTGTGCGTGAATGAGTGCGTGTGTGTGTTTGAAGCGGTGTGTGTGTATGTATGCTGCTTTACCTCGAGCAATACAGATATCACCAGGTTCGCTGCCACAAAGCCCAACATGTAGCACCTCCACACCGTCGGGATGCAAATCAGCTACAAAGACAAAGATCCCCCGTATAGCCTTTAACAAACTACACACACACGACAACGACAACATCCCCCCTGCAGCTCTTAACACTCTTGCGGTGAGTGACACAGTGAACCAGAGGTTGGAGCGGCCACCACCATGTTTGGCCGCTCTTTTCTCCTCCCCGGCGCCGATGTTCGTACACTGGACCAAGTGCTGATTTAATGGCGAGCGAACCTAAGAGGGGTCCAGGACCAGCATGGATATCACTCGTCCAACGATGTCAGCCATTGCCGGGAATCCACCCCCGATCGCCGGGTTCAAAACACGACACACTAACCACGACACCACGACAATAGCCGCCATAGGCCACTAGGTGGCGGTGACGTCAGCACGGAGCTTGTGCCAGGCTAGGTTCGCTTTGAGGCCACATGAAGTATGGAAGGCTCGCTGACGCAAGTTCACCGCTGCAACAGGTACAAAGACAAAGATCCCTGGATAGCCCCAACAGATTTTTTTGGGGGAAAATGCTGTTAGTGAGTAGCACCTATGAAGGCACCAGATACACATGCACACACGAAGATCCCCATATACGCTTAATTTTTGGGGCAAGACAGCGAGCACATATGAAGGCCAACACGGTATATAAGGAGGTGGTGTGGCCAGCACGACCCCTTTGTCTCCCCCAATGGCGATGTTTACACATCGCAGCAGGTACTTATTTACATCCGAGTCGACCTAGAGGAGGCGTGAAGATATTCGTCACCACTGTTAGGCGTTCATAGTGCAGTGCGCCAACAACTTCACCACACACGACGCGAATGCGCACATGAACACAGGTGCACGCGCACGAACGCAGGAGATACCTCAAAGAAGTCATCCATGCCGGGATATCGGTAGAACATGAGGAAAGTGAGGAACGCCGGGAGAATGATGAGCCCAGCCACAAAGGGACCTGCTCGCACAGGGACACGGAGACACGGTTCGGATCGTCGTCAGTGAAGATAGCCGTGTCCAGGGCTGGGAATTGAACCCAAGTGCAGTGAGCTAATGATTTGGACAAACATGGAGGGGCACAAAGATAAAGATTTCCCATATAGCTTTTATCAGACTGTTGGGGCAAGTGTTGTTAGCGAGCACCTCTGAAAGCCAGTAAGGTATGTATGTTGAACTTCTTTCGTACCATACATAGCCAACCGTGTTAAATCGGAAGTGCGGGGGAAGGACAACAAACTAATTACAAAAAGCAGTTCTCAAGAAATTCGTTTTCAATCTAGATGATTTAAAAGTGCATAGCTCCAGTGGCATCCTACTATCGGAAGGAAGAGCGTTCCATCACGTGAAGTGTGGAATGCTCACTGCTGGAGGAGATCACGGGACAGACCCAGGTGCAAGGGGTTCACCGAGATGCGCCAGCTGTGCTCCCCACTGTGCTGCATTTTATCCGACCGGCGCTCTGCTTGTTTTTATGAGCGTCGCTCCTTCGTTCTCTGCTGTTGCTGGAGGGCGACTACCTCCAACCGCCGTGCGTGCGCGCACACACGCGCACACATGCGCACGTACGCGCACACACGCGCACACATGCGCACGTACGCGCACACACGCGCATGTACGCGCACACACAAAAGATAAAGATGCCCCCGTATAGCCTTAACAGACTGTAGGGGCAAGTGCTGTTAGCGAGCACCTAAAACGGCCGGCACGGCACACGAGGGGGTGGGTGGCCAACACCACGCCCGACCGCCTTCGTCTCCCTAGCGACGACGTTTACACATCGCACCAGGTACTCATTTGAGGCTGAGTCGACCTAGGGGAGGCCCAGTACCGGTTCAGATAATTGTCACTGGCGTTCGCACACACGCGCACACACACACGCGCGCACGTATGCGCACATGCGCACCGCGTGGGGCCACGTACGGTTTTTGTAGACGGGCTGCCGGTAGGGCTTCCCCTTGGCGAACACGAAGCACACGATGATGTACTGGAAGGAGGACACGAAGAACAGCGTCGTGTTCTCGGCATTGCGGATGTTGTTTTCGTCGTGTTCCCAGTGCGTCGAGTTGAGCGGCGTCTCCTCGCCAGGACACAACCTGGAGGGGGTGGGGGAGTGAAGATGGTGAAGCCGGTACATTGAGCGAGACTCCTTCACCAGTCCGTGTTTGTTGGAGAGTGTGTGTGTGCGCGCGCGTGTAGGTCACATGGACGATTGTGTGCGCTTCATCGTGCGCGCGAGCGGTGCTCACGTGATGTTGGGCGCCCACGGCTGGTACCAGGGCTGCCGCTGCGTGAGCAGGAAGGCGCACACCTGCACGCCGAGGCACGTTAGCGCCTGCGCCGCCACCGACAGCAGCAGGCGCACGGACAGCAGCGAGCTGGGGGGGCCCATGGCCGTGAGCTGCGGCCACGCACCGTTCAGGGGGACTGGGGGGGCGGGGGCCGAGAGACAAATACCACTCGCTCGTGCGCTTGTTCACTTACTCGCTCACTTAAATATAATCTCACCGACTTGCTCCATCACTCAACTATTCGTTCAAACACTCGCTCGCCCACTCTTTTTCAGGCACCTTTATTTCACTCTCCACTAACCCTCTCCAACGATGCTAACTCCATGAATGTCAACGATGTTGCCGATGGCAATACTAACAATGATAATTATTTTGACTGCGCCATTCCTGATAGTCTTGATGTTAACGATGCTGCTGATGATACCTGATGGTGATTAGAGTGCTGATTATAGTGTTATTAATGAAGATTATTCTTGCGACAATGATGGTGCGCTAATGTGATGTTGCTGATAATGATAGTGCTGGGGGGATAGCAATACTCACTCGTGAAGGCCAGAACCAGTATGATCGCCAAGTCAATGAAGAGAAACTGAAAATCGCCCAGGTTGCTCAAAATCTGGAAGAAAAAAAGAAGAAAAGAGATTGCAAGAATCATGGTTCCATGGCGGGGACTCTCTCTGTCGGCGTGACGATCCTCGCGTCAGAACCTCTGGGTACATCAGCATCCCTGTTCCAAGGTCCTGGATACGTGGTGGCCGTGTTAAGGAGATGCAATGACAATAATAGTGATGTGGTTGCTGCTTGCATGTTCAGATGCCCTCTATTATGTTTGCAGTTGCGGGCTCAATTAAAAAAATAGTATTGAGGTGGTCGGGTGGTTCAGAGGTCAGGGATGCTGAACCGGCACTGCTAAGATACCTGGGTTCGAATCCGGCGTTCAGCCACTGCCTGTGAGTAAAGTGAGTTTCTCAAGTGTGGTCCACTCACCAATGAGTGCATAATAAAAAAAAGTAACAAAAAAAAACTATGACATTAAATGTGCATCCGCATTTATTTAGGCAAAATTTCAGATTTGAGAATTAAAAAAAAACAGTTTGAATGCCGTCAGATGAACACTCCTGGGCGGCAGGATGGCTGAAAAATTGCTGCCCTTGACCGCGTGGGTCAGCGGACACTAGAAGGGATCTCAGAGGTAGCTCTGTGGTATCTGCTTACATGGTCCCTACTCCAACACGGAGAGGGTAGCGACGCTCTGCGAGAGATCCAAACGGATCATTCATCCCATGGCACCGAAAGCACAATCGGGATAAAATTGGAGAAGAAAAAAAATCCAGGACTTTATTGTGCAGTGTTTAAACTGTGCATTAGGTTATATTTCAACATTACATTTGTAATGAGTATTAACAACCAACTGGAAGAATATTCTTGGTTCTTTCGGTAAAGTCTTAACGTCAGCACCACGGACAGCAACTGGCAGTTGTTCAGACGGACGAACCATCTATGCTCGGAACGGAGGAGGGGGGAGAGAAAGAAAATGGAATGCGGTCTGAAAGTCATCGTAAGCGTGAACACAATCAATTAAGACCCGAAATGGTTTATCAAATCCTTCCAATGATTGCTAAGACAGAATCCATCTTCTCGGTTGAAATTGTCTCTGTGGCTTTCACACCCGATGATGATTGTGCTTGTGTTGCAATCGAAACGTCGTGAGAATGTTATTGTTCTATTTTTATTATTTCATTATTTCCCTTCTACATGACTTTACCGAAAGAACCAAGAATATGAATCCCTGCAGTCACGGAAGCTTTAAATCGAAATTTAACCAACTGGAAAGTCAAAGAGCGTTTGAACACATACCGGACGTATCCCTGCAAAAAAAACAATTTCAAAAGTGTTTATTTACTCGAGGAAGGATGCACACCACACCCAGCATGCATTCAATCAATCAATGTGAAATTTTGAACGAGCCGTGATTCGGCAGAAGCGCGGACGGCGTAGAACCGGACTGGAAGTGATGGGCGCTGGAGATGAAAAATGGTTTGAGTCTGGACTTAAAAGCACCGATCGTTGCGCTTAAACAGACTTCAACAGGCGGCGTTGCTCTAGGCCATCGGGGCTGCTATGAGAACCTTTATTCCGCTGTCTTCACCCGTGTTGGTTATACTAGTGGCGGCTCCTTCTGGGTCGATGACGTCCCTCGGGGGGGGGGGGGGGGGGGTGGTTGTCTTCGCCCAAAAAACCGAGCATTGCTTCCCTGAACTTAACCGTCTCTCCCCGTGTGATGGCGACAAGTGTTAAAGATAACCCTTCACTATACGCAGCGGCCTGGGAAATATTCCGTGACAAAGAAATGAAAGGTCGGAGTGCCGTCGTTCCAAAGTGCGCATGTGTGACGCACATCGGCCTCGTGGTGAGAGCAAGCGAGCAAGTCGCGGTCAGGGCACTAATGGCGCTGCTGCAGCTGCGTTGGTGTGCGTACCGAGTAAAGCAGCAGCACGGACAGGTACTGGATGATGCTGTAGAGCGCCATGAACTTGAACACGCAGAACGAGGTGATGAGAGCCGCACGTCCTTCCCTGCGAGCACGCGCACACGCGTGCAAAAACAATGATCACCCGCACAGTCGACAAAGACCATTGAGGCAAGTACTGCAAGCGAGCAGTCGCACCAGATATGCATTTAAGGCCGAGTTGACCTTGGGGATTCCCAGGATGGCTGCAGATACCACTCGTCATTGACGTTCGCAGCCGAGAATCCAACTCGGGTCGCCGGTTCGAAGCAAAGTGCAGAAACAATGAAAGTCCCACTTGACCACGTGTGCATGTCTGTGTGCTGCATGCATCTCTATCTCTCGTGGCCTGTCCATCCTCTGTATCCCCTGTGTCCCATGTCCCACGTGAACCCTATGTCACGTGTTACGGGAGTGTGTGTCGCGTGTACCGCAGGGTACACCGTGTATCTGTGTGCTATACGTAAGCCGTTTGTGTGAGTGTATCCGAGTGACGTGCGTATTGTGTGTGCATCACGAGTGGTGCCGTGTGTCGTCTGTGTATGTTACCGTATGAGCGTGGGGACGCAGGAGATGTTGGGCGTTTTGGAGGTGAACGGGGAAGCGACGGACGCCTCAAGCTCGGAGAGCGAGATCCCGGCATGGGCTCGCTTCAGCGCCTGCAACACAACCGCCGCCGCCAGCACGACACTTACCCCGTGGTGGTCCTGTGCGAGTTGTGGGGAGTGGTGGGCGCGGTGGTGAGCGCGCAACGAACCGAGCAACTTTGGTTCCATTCCCGGCCACTGCCAACATCATTGGTGAGCGACTTTGACCCTCCCTTATGTCAACTGAGCCTTAAAATGAGTATCCGGTACGATGCGAATACATTCGGACTGCAGAGACAAAGGCAAGGGGCGTGGGGCTGGCCCACGCCGCTGCCTCGTGTGGCAGGCCAGCTCACAGCACCTGCCACAAAAGTCTATTAAAAGCAGTACCACCAATAACACTACATACACAACACCATCCGCAACTGCACTACCAAACCACTGTTTGATTCCAAGTCGTTTGGTCACAATTGTTTTATGCTTAATTAGCAGTTTAATGCAGGTTTTTTAAATAAAATTATCTGCATTAATCAATGTTTTTTTAAGGGTTAGTCTATTGCAGTAATCTAGGATTCATATAGAAGTCTTGTGGATTTTCAACACAATGTCTTGTTACTTGGCGCTGCGGTGGCGAGACGTTAACTACCCCGCCTGGTGTACAAGAGGTTGTGGGTTCGATCCCAACCCTGACGCCTGCTTTATATTTGGAGTTTGTACATTCTTCCCGTGGTCGCGTTGGTTTTTCTCCGGGTGGTCTGGTTATTCCCTCCACATTTAGAATCAACGTGCATTTAGAGTAGTTGGCTGCGATACATTTCCACATGATGATAAGCCATTTCGTTGAGTGATCATATGTGGTCGGGTCGCTTCTATAAAAGAAAAGAGGTGGATAGCTCGTTGGGCTTCACCTGGTAAAACTAAAAGTAGTTTTAGTTTCTAATAGTATCACCAAAACTCCGACATCACGCTGGCAAGAGCTTGAGAAATCCCAGAGTAGTCCCTGACCCTGAGCTCTCACTCTTTCCCCCAACGTCTCAACTCTGCAGGAACCCTCGTACGTCCGTTCTTATAATGTCTCCCCGCATTCCGACATCCCCACAAGGTGGTACTAATTTTATCGACCCCAGGAGGGATGATGAGCCGTGTCAACTCCCAACCGTGATTTGAACTTGCAAAGCTTCTGCTTGCGAGCCGCTCAGGCCAGATGTGCATGATTACATACGTGTGTGTGTGTGTGTGCGTGTCAGAGTACATGCTGTGTGTGTGAGTACTCGCTCAGTACGTGTGTGTGTGTACACATGCAGTATGTATATGCACATGTGCGGCAACTCACCCCACAGTCGTTCGCTCCGTCACCGCACATCCCCACGCAGTAGCTGTGAAACAGCAGACGGCCACGTCAGCACTTGTACAGGATGAGACGAGAGACACAACCCACAGAGCTTTCAACAGACTGTTGGGGCAAGTGGTGTTTGTGAGCGCCTATTAAGGGCAGAGTGGTGCACAAGGCGGCCGTGTGGCCAGCACCATGCCCGCCCACTTCTTTCTCCTCAGTGCTGATGTTTAAACACCGCACCAGGTACTCATTTAAGGCTCGGGTGACCTCGGGGAGGGTTTAGTTACAAGTCACCGGTGATGTTAACATTGGCCGGGAATCAAATCAAGGAATGCGATATTCAGAGTTGCGCTAATCACTATGCCACCGCTTCCCACACACACACACACATGCATATGTAGTGTGTGTCTCACGAGGCACACACAGAACTCTGGAGGCACCATGATGTATTCACAACCGAACAGGGCTATGGGTTAACAATACTCGGGGTTACTCAAGACCCCCAAAGGGGTCTCTGTAAACTGAGTCCCCAACGACCGACGCTCCAAGACCCCCGAAGCAAAGCCACACGGTTTGCTCTTTCCACCAGTCCCTCTTAACCCCCTCGAGCGTGGCCTCGCTTCCGCCTCCGGCCAAGCTCCTTCCTCGGTCTCTCGAGACGGGACTGGAGCCAGCGTCACATGTCCTCCGGGCCCCCGTTTCCGGGCCCCCTTCACTCCCCTGAGTTGGCACGTCCCCCCTCTCTCTCTCTGCGACGGGACCCTGCGCTGGAGGGCCTGCTTCTCCGCCACGTCTCTGTCGGCTCCCACGAGATGTACGTGCACACTCCTTTATCGATTGTAGTTGTAGTCGGCATATACGCCGTAGAGACGCTATTTACGTCTCTACACATATACACACACACATCCATACATATACACGCAACACATGTATCCTTCCACAAACACACACGAAGCGGGCTGGGTTAATGTAATTGAAGGTGCTCTTGAATACAGCATCGTTCACGAAAACTTGCATCGTACAACGCTGCACAACTTTTTACGTGCACAGTTTTCGGACGTAGCTCAGCGTGCCAACAACTACACTACCGCTCCATACACTTGCATACACGCACACACAGGCATGCACGTGCACACACACAATGTCTTACTCCATGCCCTGTAGAACTTCAATCAGCTGTGTTTTCTGGTCTGGAGACATCCGGGCAAAAATGGTTCCACGCAGCACAATCTGCTCACGAGACAGACAGACCCCCCGAATAACCTTAAACACTGTTGGGGCAAGTGATGTAAGCAAACACGTATGAAGACCGGCACGGCACAAAAGGGGGTGGGTGGCCAACACCAGGCCCGGCCGTCTTTGTCTTCCCAATGCTGATGTTGACACACTGCACCAGTACAAATTTAAGGCCAAATCGACATAAACGGGGCCCAGGATCGGTTCACAAATTAGTCACTAAGTGGGAATTGAACTCGAGTCGCTGGGTTCGTAGCACAGTGCACTAATCACGTCGCCGCTCCTCACAAGACGGAACACAGATACATCACACGCAGTCAACAAAACGCGACCCACACTTAGGTGTGCGAGATGGTACGACATGGTGTGTAGTGTGACGACATGGCACATGGCGTGATGCGACACGGTGTTCGGTGTGATGCAGTGTGCGGTATGGCGCACCGTGACGTGGCGGGTGAAGTTTTAAGATAAAAATAATTACTGATCTACCTATAAAAACCACACCGAGTCCAAGACTCTCAGGAGGGGCCTGGCATCAGGTTGTTTGACCAATACCAATTACATTGCCCTTTTTTTTAGCTATGGGAGGATAACCTGGAGAACCCCGGAGAAAACCCACGCTGAACAGGGGCTGAACATAGCAACTTCCCCGAGTCAGAATCGAACCCAGGTCGTTCTTGCCACGAGACACGAGTCACCACTGTGCCATCGTGCTGCCCAACGACGCGTGGTACAGTGTGCCGAGTGCGGGGGTGGTGAAGAACGATGGATGGTGCAGTGCGATGCGGTTTGGTTTGTTGTCGTATGCTGGAGTGGTGTGGGGTGATTGTGACACAATGCTGTGGGGTGTATCATGTACAACAGTTGCAGTATGACGTGGCGTGGTGAGGTTTGGTGCGGTGTTATATATGGTGCGGTGTGGCATGGTGTGTGGTGGAGTTTGGTGTGGTGTAGTGTGGAGCAGTATGGCGTGGTCTAGAATGGCGTGAGCGTGGGGCGGGATGGTGTAAGAGTGTGCTAAGCACCTTGGGCAGGAGGTCCGGAAAGTGGTCAAAGATGATGGCAAACGACTTTCCGCTCATCGCAAAGTGGAATTCATGATTGGAGGACATGTTCACCACGCAGCCCTGTGGAACAAACAAAGACAAAGATCCCCCATATAGCCTTTACCCGACTGTTAGGGAAAGTGCTGCTAGCATCTATGAAGGCCAGCACGTGAGGGCATGGCACACGAGGGGGTGTGTGGTCAGCACCATGCCCGGCTGCCTTTGTCTCCCGAGTGGCGATGTTTACACACCGCACCAGGTACTCATTCGAGGGCGAGTTGACCTAGGGGAGGCACCGAACCAGTTCAGATAATCGTCACTGGTATTGGCGGGAATATAACTGGTACGCCCAAAATTCACGATCACAGACTCACGCATGCACGCACAATCACAACTGTACGTGCTCACGCAATGAGAAGAAGACCTTCCCATCTGGGCTCAGAGACTGTTGGGCCAGGTTTGTTTTTTCCCACAAACTTGCTGAGCACAGGCCCAAAGGCCCAAACCACCAAACGGCCAACAAACAGCACTATTGTAATGCGGGCGTAAATGGGCGGGGCGGATATGACGATCCAAGAGGGAGGAGTCAGGGTGACGTGGGGGAGAAGTTATAGCGGGGAGACAGGAAGCTATCTGGGTCAGTCGGGGGAGTGAAGGGTGGTGAACACGTTGGGTGGTCGCCGTGCCTCAGCCTGGTGGCTGAGGGGCTCATGACGGCGCCAGCCAGCGGGGTGGAAGAGAGAGTGGAGGATTGAGGTAGGAAGTGGCGAGATAGCCACAGAGGCCACGAAGGGCTGAGGTAGGAAATGGCGAGATAGCCACAGAGGCCACGAAGGGCTGACATTGGGAGGTGGCGAGATCGCCACGCACGGAGGAACAGGGAGCAGAGATGGAGCTGCTGGGGGAGCAGCCAGAGGGCTGTACCAAGAGCCTGCAGCGGAGCTGCAGGAGCGTGGAAGGCTACGGGAGCGAAGGCAGATGTGGGGCTGCCAGGGAGAGAGTCTCAGGAGGAGTGCCGTGTGGGACGGAGAACGCGAACCCCAAATAAAGGACACGGAGTCAGCAAGAAGTGTCTGAGTCCTTTTATTACACTATCAAAGTCGTAAGTGTCGACACGTTTCTTGAATTGAGCAAGGTTATTGGGAAAAGAGACGAATATGAGGGAATTCTAAATTGGAGCAGTGCAAAGGAAGAAGCAGAGAGGTGAAGTGTCGTGACCTGCGGTGCGATGGCGCTGTTAGTAAGCGCCAACGTGTGGAAATGCACGGTGGTGGTCGGAATATGGCCACCACCATGCATTTCCACACCTGTTGAGGCCGACACACGCCCATTGATCTACGTGCACAAATATCTATGACAGCCCAAACCAACACCCCAGGCTACCGCCAACGTTACCTCAATCAGTGCCGCTCCCATCATTGTATTCCTACCGTTACGCTCGTTCACCCAGGAAAGCGCTGCCAGATTTTTGCAGTTGGGGGGGGTTGACGTTGCCACGTGTGGCCGGACACCATTTCTGGCACCATGGCCACGCCCACCTGTTGCGGCTGCTCGTTGCCGATTGGCCGCTCCGGGTGCCACGTGATGGTTGCCGGGAGACCGTTTCCAGGAGGCGTCGCCTCGGTGACGATGATCTCATCGCTGGCGTGCACCATCCCACAATCCCGTGCGACTGACATGGCCGTTAGGAGGTTGTCGCCTGTGAATACATTGACGGGAAAATGCAGCGGGGCTGTTTGGGCATGGGTGCGTGCAACTGTGTGTGTATGTGCATGTGTGTATGTGGTTTTGTGTTTGTGAGGAGCGGTGGCGTCGCGGTTAGCGTGCTGCGCTATGAACCCGGCAGCCCGAGTTCGATTCCCGCTCACGGCCAACATCCGTGACGATCATCTGAACCGGTTTTAGGCATCTCCTAGGTCGACTCAGCCTCAAATGAGTACTTGGTGAGGTGTGTAAACATCGCCATTAGAGAGACAAAGGCGGCGGGGCGTGGTGCTGGCCACAAACCCCTCATGTACTCTCCCGGCCTTCATAGGTGCTCGCTAAAAGCACTTGCCCCAACAGTCTGTAAAGGCTATACGGGGGATTGTCTATATATGTGCGCGTGCAGCTCCTCTCTTGTGGAGCGTTAGTGTCGTGGTTAGCGCGCTCCTGCGTGTGTGCGTGTGTGCACACGCCCCCCCTGCGTTCGTCCCCATGTGCCGCTCAGTTACCCGTGACCATGACGGTTCGGATCCGCGCCTCCTTCAGCTGCTGCAGCACGGGCTCCGTCTCGGGCTTCAGTTTGTTCTGCATTACGATGAGACCCAGCATCTGCAGCCCGCTCTCTATCGTGTCACTACGTACAGGCACGAACACACAAATACATACACATCAGTGATGTGCGGTGAGGCCAATGGCTGGGGAGGCACTGGCTTGTGTCAGAGCCAGATTCACACACTGAGGGGGGCGTGGCCTCACGGAGGGGGCGTGTCCTCACTGAGGGGGGCGTGTTAGACACGCTCCCCTCAGTGAGCCAGATGTGATGGCTGCCTCCACTGGTGCTTTTCATTGCAGTTTCATGACGAGACCAGCGAGCCTAAATATCTTTATACGCATACGTGAAATAAGTTACCTGGAGTATGGAAGGCGAGGACATGAAATGAAGGGGTCTACAAACATTACATTGGTGACATACTGAGATAGTAACAGGCACGCGCTTATTGCCCGCGCTCCATCCAGTTACTGAGGGGTTGCGCAATCAGAGGGGAGGCTGAGCTCGTCGCTGCCTCACCTCTCGTCTCTTCCTGTATTTGCAGCGGAGCTCCGCAAATTTGGCGATTTTGACTATAAAAATGATTGGAATCGTACAGAAATGACTTTTATAACACATATCATTTGAAAAACCTTAATATTTATTTTATTTTATCATTAATTTTTTTACTTTTAGTAACAGCTATTTTCATTGGAGTATGACAGGTGAGGCTCTGGCCTCCCCTGCTTCCCCTGACAGCACGTCCCTGCTACACACACACACATACAAAGACAAAGATAAAGATCCCCCGTATAGCCTTAACAGACTGTAGGGGCAAGTGCTGTTAGCGAGCACCTATGAAGGCCGGAACGGTACACAAGGGGGTGAGTGGCCAGCACCACGCCCGACCGCCTTTGTCTCCCCAGTGGCGATGTTTACACACCGCACCAGGTACTCATTTAAGGCTGAGTCGACCTAGGGGAGGCCCAGGACCGGTTCAGATAATCGTCACTGGTGTTAGCCGTGAGCGGGAATCGAACCCGGGTCGCCAGGTTCATAGCGCAGCGCGCTAACCGCTACACTATCGCTTCCCACAACACACATACACACACACATACACACACACATACACACACACACACACACACGAACAACGCTGAAGACCAACACAGCAGACAAGGCCATATGTGGCCAACATCACGCCTTTGTCTCCCCAGTGGCGATGTTTACACACCGCACTTGGTACTCGTTTAAAACTGAGTTGACGTAGGAGAGGCCCAGGACCGCCGATATTGACGATGATGCCAATGATGTCGATTTTGACGATGATGGCGATGATGGCGACGTTGATGGCGACGTTGATGGCGACGTTGACGATGATGCCGACGTTGACGATGTCGATTTTGATGATGATGCCGAAGATGACGACGATGGCGAAGATGACGACGATGGCGAAGATGACGACGATGGCAATATTGACGACGATGACGATGTCGACGATTATGATGATGGGAACGTTGACGATGATAGCGACGTTATCGATGTTGACAATGATGCCGATGTTGACGATGACGGCGACGTTGTCACGGGCTGCGTTACCGGCTCGCCTGCTGCACCCGGTGCCAGTTGAGCTTGTGCGGCAGGGCCCGGTGAGCGAGCGCGATCACGCGGTATCCCTTCCGCGTGTGCTGCTCCAGAACCTCGGCAAAGTCCTTGGGGACTGGGGAGACGCACGGGAAGAGCGGAGTCACCGAGACGGCATCCGGGGAGGGAGAGAGCGGCGGTGCAGCGGTCAGCGCACTGTGCTACGTACCCGGCGACCCAAGTAAGATTCACCAATCAAGGTTCAAACGTTGCTGACGATTATCTAAACCGGTCCTGGGCCTCCCCTAGGTCGGCTCAGCCTCAAATGAGTACCTGATGTATTGTGAAAACATTGCCATTAGGGAGACAAACGCAGCCGGGCGAGACACTGGCCACCCACCCCCTCGTGTGCCATGCCGGCCTTCATAGGTGCTCGCTAACAACACTTGCCCCAAATGCCTGTTCAGGCGAATGCGAGGGATTTTTGTCTTTGTACGTGTTTGTCCTGTGCATATAGGTGCGTGTGCGTGCGCTACCGCTGGCTGGAACGCAGAGCCGCATGATGGTCTCGGGCGCGCCCTTGGTGTACGCGTGCATGCAGCGGGCGCTCAGCGTGCGCGTCACCACGCTCATGCGCTGCAGCTCCGACGAGAACGGGAACTCGCGCACGACGCCGATCTCATAGCCACTCTACTCGCCCACGCACACACAGACACGCACACACACACAGATCTCAAAGCCACTCGCACAGACACACACACACACACCGATCTCAAAGCCACTCGCACAGACACGCACGCACACACACACTGATCTTATAGCCACTCACACAGATATGCGCACACACACACACACAGACACGCACACACACCAATCTCATAGCCACTCACATAAACACGCACACATACACAGTAAGGCACACAACCACAACGATCTCATACCTGTTTTCCTCGCACACACGTACAGACACGCACTCACACAAAGCTATCTCATAGTCGCTCTACTCACACGCATAGATACGCACACACACACATATAATCTTAATGCCACTACTCACACACACACGCACAAACCGACGCACACACATGCACACACAGACACTGATCTCATAGACAATCTGCACACACGCACACCATTCAGATCTCTCACACACAGAATACCTGTCAACACAGATCAACACACATAGACCCACACAAATAAGAACAAAGATCCCCCACACATCCTTTAGCGCACTGGTGGGGCAAGTGATTTGCACAGGGAAAAGGTGAATCGTGAGGCAGCAAGAAGGGGCGGGGGGGGGCTCGCGGAATTAATTTTGCGAGTGGGGGAGTAGGAAGGACGCCACGGCGCCCGGAGACAACGCCGCATACGTCACTCACCGAGATCTCGTACATTTCCTAAAAACACAACGACAAGGAAGCGTTACCATTAAACTAAACTGAACGTTTTATTTGACCATGTAAGGCCCACTGAGCTATTACAACGCTGCTATTTTTTTTTTTAAAGGGACCTGGCCTCAAATTATAGCTCAACAAAGTGGCTGATCATGTATAGCAGCCAAATGCTCTAAACGCGTGGTGTGTTGATTCTAAATGTGGAGGGAAAAACCGGCAGACGCGGAGAAAAATCCACTCGACTACGGGGAGAACACGCAAATTCCAAATATACAGCAGGCGTCAGGTGTGGGACCGAACCCACGACCTCCTGTACACCAGGCGATGTAGTTAACATCTCGCATCGCCCATTGCCCTCGTTCCCTCGCTTTGCACGAGGAATCGATCGTTTACCATTCGGTGAAAATTATCTGCAAATGGCCACCACGTGAGGCGAGCGGAACAAACAACAGCGAACGTACGAACAAAAAACCCATCCGAGACGAGACAAACGAAGCACAAAATGAGTGAATGGTGTTGCGAATGTGTTTATGGAGCACCATCACTCATGCGAAACTGAGAACACGATACAATCCGTGTGACCTGCATGGCCGTCAGGCAATCGACGAGCGTTTTTTTTTTCCCTGTGAGAGGATTACCCAGAGAAAACCCAAACTTGCGAGGGGGAAACACTCGATTCCATACAGATGCGACAGGTGGAGTCAACAATTGCTGATTCGCCTTCACCTGAAGGGCCACGGTATGGCACCTCCTCGAAGCCCACGGGAAGGGAGTTTCACAACCATTAACTGAACCAATCAACTATTTTTTTAAATTTAATTTTACCAGGTAAGGCCCACTGAGCTGTATAGCTCTTTTTCAGAAGCTCAACGAAGTGGCACATCATGTGGAAATTTATAGCAGTCAAATACCTTAAACGCATATTTCTAAATCTAGAGGGGAAAAGCCAGAGGACCTGGACAAACCACTTGGGACTGTAATTAAGATGGAATTAATTTGTCCACATTTCTTGATGAGGTAGAAATGCTCATAAAATACCGCGGGGTCGCACGTGCCCTGACAAACGGACTGTTCATCCACGCTGGGACTGCAATGGTGCATTCAGTTTCATGTGTGTCAAAGCATAGGCTAATCTATCTTCTCTTCTATATATATAAAAGTCAGAATTTGTGTGTTGGTTTTTGTGTGGGTTTGTGTGTGGGTTTGTATGTGGGTTTGTGTGTGGCCGCGCGCTTGGCTCTCCAACGGTGGGGTTCATGTAAAAATAAAATAGCCAGGTACCACGCCGTAAGCCCTGCGGTGAGCAAGCGCTGTTCCTTTTTCACATCCGCCAACTTTTAATTAGTTTAATTAGCGATTTAGTGCTATTTCTGTGCTCTTCCCATACCAACTCACGCACCTCGGCTGGCTGTACAATCTAGGTGAGGCCGGAGGCTCTGCACGGGACTAGGCCTCACCACGCCACTCTGTTAGGTGAGTACTTTGTGCTATACAGTCGATAAATACTGCTATAGCAGGTACCACCACAGTCAGTATGCACTGCTGTAATCATAGCAGGTACCACCACAGTATGCACTGCTGCAGTGAAAGCAGGTACCACAGTATGCACTTCTGTAATCATATCAGGTACCACCACAGTCAGTACGCATTGCTGTTAGAGATTTCAGAGTAGTTTTCAAATATTTTTAAGACCCGGGCAACGCCGGGTACTTCCCGCTAGTTCCATATATAAACCAAACGTTCTCAAACTAGAAACAATTATCTTCCACGTAACTATACGGCGGTAGTGAGATTTTGTCTTGCGTGGTTGTCTCGCGAGTGCAACTACCCAAAGCTGGGCGGCCGTGGTGGTGGCTCTGTGATAACCAATACGAATGGCTGCAAATGCCTTTACTGTCGTTATGAATCCCGCGTGACTCGTTCGGCCTTCATTCCCATGCGCAGTGAAACGCTACTCACCACGTCAGGATCCGAGTTGGGATTGGCCGAGTCGGCGTCACACACCGCTTTCTGATTGGTGGCAACGTTGGGGTTGCAGGCCGGCCGCACCACGGTGGGCATGATGGTGTCAAACTTGGCGTTCTCATCCGAGGTGGCCTCCTCCAGCACCTACAGGGAACAAGGACATCCTCACTATCCACTCACCACGTCCTCACCTCGCCAAACACCTCATCCTCACCAGTTCCTCCTCAAACTTACCACCACCTCATCACCACCATACACTTTAACAATATCTACATTCTCACCACACACTGCACTAATCACCCACCTCGCTCAGCACTCATCTCACTACCGACCTCCTAACCACCCGCCTCAACGCCACACACCATCTCACCACCACATATCTCTTCACCACCCCCTCTCCTCACGAAGCCTCACCACCGTCTCGACCGAGCACTACTCGTGAGCGCACACACTGTGCATGCGCGCACCACTCGCGCACCACACACACCACATGCTGTGCATGCGCGCACCACTCACGCACGCACACACACCACATGCTGTGCATGCGCGCACCACTCACTCACGCACACACACACACACACCACATGCTGCGCACGCGCGCACACCAAATGCTGCGCAAGCGTGCACACCACACACATGTGCCACACACGCACCCATCCCGTGGCGTTGAACATGTTGAGGTCGAGTGGGTCCCCGGTGAGCTGCCCCTCGATGCGGGTGAGCGAGTGGCAGGTGGCCATGGCGGCCAGCAGCGGCGTGTGCACCAGCTCGGGGTGCGACACCTCGGTGCACACGGGAGAGAAGCTGCAAAGACAAAGATCCCAGGATAGCCTTTAACAGACTATTGGAGCAAGTGCTGTTAGGGGCACCTATGAAGGCCGGAACGGTACACGAGGGGGTGGGTGGCCAGCACCACGCCCGACCGGATTTGTCTCCCTAGTGGTGATATGGATACTGGTGTTGGCCGTGAGCGGGAATTGAACTCGAGTCGCTGTGTTGGCAGCGCAGCGCGCTAACCACGACACTACCGCTCCCCGAGAGAGAGAGCTGCACACACATTGACGTACACAACGATCCCCCGTGTAGCCTTAACGGACTGTGGGGGCAAGTGCTGATAGCGAGCGCCTATGAAGGCTGGTGCAGGGCACACGACGGGGTGGTGTGGCCACGTTCACGCCCGGCAACCTTTATCTGCCCCAGTGCCAATGATGAAACACCGCACCAGGTACTCATTTAGGGCCGAGTTGACCCAAGGGGAAGCCCAGGACCGGTTCAAATATCAATCGATGTCAATTGCCAGCGACGTCAGCTGTGGCCGGGAAAGGAACAAAGGTCGCCAAGTTTGTAATTCAATGCAAGAACCACTACACCATACCAACACATACATACACAGTTAATCACACGCACACGTATGCGCGCGTGCACTAACCGAATCACACACAAAAGCACGCGCACACGTACAAATGCACAGACGCATTTATATATACAATTATACATCATATTTACACACTTCTATATTTACGTACACACACGCGCACACACTGTGTCGGAGCACGTGTGCGCGTGCTGCCCGTTTGTCAATCCACTGCTGGACAAGGGCCTCTTCCCCAAGCGGTGAAGGTCGTGAGGGTTATTCGACCAGACGTCACCATACTCGTAAGAGAACCTAGTCTCACCTATTGTTGCTGTGATAGTATTGGCACGTGTGTGTCAGCATTGTGCGTGCGGTCACACGTACACATTGTTTTCCACCGGGATGACGCCCCACAGATCCAAGCCATCCTCCGTCAGGGTTCCCGTCTGTTAAGCACGCAGGGAACACGGCCGCACGTGGGCACAAACACACACGGATGCAGGGAGTGAACACGCGAGCGAGTGAGTGAGCATGTGAGTGGGTGAGCAAATGAGTGTGCGACCAAATGAGCGAGTGAGAACGAGTGAGAGCGTCTGTGAGTAAGCGTACCAGCGAGTGAACGTGTGAGCGAGTGGGTGAGTGGGGGAGCGTGTGAGCGAGCGAGTCTGTGAGTGAGTGATCGTGCAAGCGAATGAGTGTGTGAGCATGTGAGCGAGCGAGTAAATGAGTGGTGAGTGAGTGGGCAATCGATCGAGCAGCAAAGCAAGCGGGCAATTGAGTGCGAATCACGATGGTCCTGCCCGCGCAGGACCCCCCACCCTCTCCCACCTTGTCGAAGCAGACGAGGTGCGTGTGCCCCGACACCTGGATGAGGTTGGGGCTCAGGCAGAAGATCCCCGCCCGCTTCAGCCGCTGCTGCGCGTAAACCACGCCCGCCGTGAGCGCGGCAGGCAGCGCCGGCGGCACCGTGATGGTGATGATGTCCAGCGCCTCCACCACAATCTTCGACGCCTTCTCCTGTGGGTGCGTGACGCCAGGAGGGCATGGACACACGGGGGGCGCATGGGGACACAAGGTGAGACGTGGCAATGCATGACGAGGGGGGGGGGGGGGGGGCGGTCACAGGGATACAACGGGAGACACGGGGAGATAAGGAAACACATGGGGAGACACGGAGAGACACCGGGAGACACAGCGACGTACAGGGGAGACATAACGAGACACGAGGTAAAACAAATGGGGATTCAGGAGAAAGAAACAGGGTCGCAACGGTTGACACGGGGAGTGAAGGAAATGCACGAGAAGCCACGTGGACGTGCAGGGACACACGGGGAGACACAAGGGAAGGCGTGAGGACACGTATAGCGGAAGGGGTGCTCATGAAACGTGTAGAGAAACGTGCACAGATGGTACCCGAGTTGGAAACAAGCTAAACACTGGGCAAAGAAGCCTACAAGCTCGCAGAGGACACATAGCAGAGCGAGGACATTCGAGTGATAAGATGGTGAGCCTCTTGTGCGCTGTGAGAGATGTGTGTACAAGCGTGCTCTACGTGTGAGTTGTGTGTAGAAGATTTTTGCACGCAAGCTGTGGTGTGTTGGGGTGTTGATGTCTGTGTGTTGGGGAGCGGTAGTGGTAGCGGTTTGCGCGCTGCGCTATGAACGCGGCGACACGAGTTCGATTATCGCTCACGGCCAACACCAGTGAAGATTATCTGAACCGGTCCCGGGCCTCCCCTAGGTCGACTCAGCCTCAAATGAGTACCTGGTGCGGTGTGTAAACATTGCGACTAGGGAGACAAAGGCGGTCGGACGTGGTGCTGGCCACCCACCCCCTCGTGTACCATTCCGGCCTTCATAGGTGCTCGCTAACAGCACTTGCCCCTACAGTCTGTTAAGGCTATATGGGGCATCTTTGTGTGTTGATTGTGGGGAGCGGTAGTGCAGTGGACTAGCGCGCTGTGCTATAAACCCGGAGTTCAATTCGCGCTCACGGCCCACGCCAGTGGAAATTATCCGAACCAAACATTGCTGACGAATATCTAAACTGGTCCTGGGCTTCCCCGAGGTCGACTCGGCCTCAAATGAGTGGCTAGTGTGGTGTGTAAACATCAGCACTGTGGATACATAGGCGGTCGGGCGTGGTGCTGGCCATCCACCCCTTCATTTCTTTAGAAGTGCTTTTTACGTTCAGCTTGTTATCCTTTCCCCGCACGGTTGGCCACATACGTACATACCTTGCTGGCCTTCATAGGTGCTCGCTAACAGCTGTGTGCGCGTGGGACCTGTGCGTGCGTGCGTGCGAGCCGTACCCCCTTGAGCGTGGAGGAGATGACCGTGTAGATGAAGCCGACGAGCGCCACGGCGACCAGGAAGAGCAGGAAGCGGAATGCGTCGCGGTAGAGGCGCACGTTGGTCGGCTTCGGGTAGAGGATGGAGCGCACCAGCTGCCCCTTGGCCGTGCCGAACCCTGCACACGTGGTACACAGATCCCCCCCCTTTAACACACCGTCGGGGACAGTGCTGCTAGCGAGCACCTATTAAGGCCGGCACGGCCGCAGGAGGTGGGGTTGACAGCACCAAGCCCCTGTTGCAGAGGTCGCAAACGGGTTTTGATTCCTTACCCGTACCCGGCCGCACCAGGGTCGCAAACAGGTACCCGTACCCGGCCGCACCAGGGTCGCAAACGGGTACCCGTACCCGGCCGCACCAGGGTCGCAATCGGGTACCCGTACCCTACCCGATACCCGTACCCGGCCGGGTATCGTGTAGGGTACGGGTACCCGATTGCGACCTCTGGGATGAAGCCATGTTGCAGGCGCGGGTGGGTTGATTCTAGGAACTTGAAATGAGTGACAAACGGTTACTCATCAGTGACTCACGGCCTACCCGTACCCGTACCCGGCCACACCAGGGTCGCAAACGGGTACCCGTACCCGTACCCGGCCAGGTACGGGTAGCCGGGTATCGGGTAGGGTACGGGTATCGGATACCCGATTGCGACCTCTGCCCTGTTGTTGCCTTTGTCTCCCCAGTGCTAACCACTACACTTCTGCTCCCCACCTGTACACATGCATATGCGGGCACACTCACCTATGTAGTCACATGTGCACACAAAACAGCATTAACACACGAGGTGGTGGTGACATCGCGACAGCTCTTGTGTCAGACGAGGTGCACTTCTCTCTCGCCATGAAACGTGTCTAAGACGTACTGGCAAGTCCAGGAAAGGCCCACACAAGCGTGCAAGTGTGTACGTAGACGCACGCGCTTAAAGAAGAGCATTAACACGCAAATACGTACACGCAAAAGATAAAGATCCTCGCGTAACCTACACTGTTCAGGCATGTGCTGTGAGTGAGCACCTATGAAGGCTGGCATTGGGCATGAGAGGGAGGAATGGCCATCACCAGACTAAACTGCTTTGGTCTCCCCAGTGCTGATGTTTACATGCTGCAGCGAGTACTCATTTTATTCCGAGTTAACCTAGGAGAGGCCCAGAACCGTGATGTCACGTACCTGTGATGTTAGCTACGGTTGAGAATCAAACCACTCCCCACAACCTCTGCCACACACACAAACACAGGTACTAGCGGATACAGGGACCAAGGTAATGGTAGAGGGCGGCAGCGGGAGAGGGTGATAGTGGTAGGAGCAGACAGCCGTAGCGGTCGCGGTAGGGGCGGTAGCGGTAGGGGCGGTAGAGGTAGGGGCGGTAGTGGTAGGGGCGGTAGCGGTAGGGGCGGTAGCGGTAGAGGGCGGTAGCGGTAGAGGGCGGTAGCGGTAGGGGCGGTAGCGGTAGGGGCGGTAGCGGTAGGGGCGGTAGTGGTAGGGGCGGTAGCGGTAGGGGCGGTAGTGGTATAGGGCGGTAGCGGTAGGGGCGGTAGCGGTAGGAGCGGTCGCGGTAGGGGCGGTAGAGGTAGGGGCGGTAGAGGTAGGGGCGGTAGCGGTAGGGGCGGTAGTGGTAGAGGGCAGTAGCGGTAGGGGCGGTAGCGGTAGGGGCGGTAGTGGTAGAGGGCGGTAGCGGTAGGGGCGGTAGCGGTAGGGGCGGTAGTGGTAGGGGCGGTAGCGGTAGGGGCGGTAGTGGTATAGGGCGGTAGCGGTAGGGGCGGTAGCGGTAGGAGCGGTCGCGGTAGGGGCGGTAGAGGTAGGGGCGGTAGAGGTAGGGGCGGTAGCGGTAGGGGCGGTAGTGGTAGAGGGCGGTAGCGGTAGGGGCGGTAGCGGTAGGGGCGGTAGTGGTAGAGGGCGGTAGCGGTAGGGGCGGTAGCGGTAGGAGCGGTCGCGGTAGGGGCGGTAGAGGTAGAGGGCGGAAGTGGTAGGGGCGGTAGTGGTAGAGGGCGGTAGTGGTAGGGGCGGTAGTGGTAGGAGCGGTAGTGGTAGGAGCGGTAGTGGTAGAGGGCGGTAGAGGTAGGGGCGGTAGTGGTAGAGGGCGGTAGTGGTAGGGGCGGTAGCGGTAGGGGCGGTAGCGGTAGGGGCGGTAGAGGTAGGGGTGGTAGTGGTAGGGGCGGTAGTGGTAGGGGCGGTAGCGGTAGATACAGTCGCAGTAGCGGTAGAGGGCGGTAGCGGTAGAAGCGGTAGCGGGCGGTAAGCGGCAGGAGCGGTTGCAGTAGAGGGAGTTAGCGGTGTAAGGGAGGTAGCAGCAAAGGCGGTTGAGGTGGTAGCGGTAGAGGTACGAGGCGGCAGGGGTAGAGGCAGTGGTAGAGGGCGGTAGCGGTAGAAGCGGTAGTGGTAGAAGCGGTAGTGGTAGATGGCGGTAGTGGTAGAGGGCGGTAGTGGTAGATGGCGGTAGTGGTAGATGGCGGTAGTGGTAGAGGGCGGTAGTAGTAGAAGCGGTAGTGGTAGAAGCGGTAGTGGTAGATGCCGGTAGTGGTAGATGGCGGTAGTGGTAGAGGGCGGTAGTAGTAGAAGCGGTAGTGGTAGATGGCGGTAGTGGTAGATGGCGGTAGTGGTAGAGGGCGGTAGTGGTAGATGGCGGTAGTGGTAGATGGCGGTAGTGGTAGAGGGCGGTAGTAGTAGAAGCGGTAGTGGTAGAAGCGGTAGTGGTAGAAGCAGGAGTGATAGATGGCGGTAGTGGTAGAGGGCGGTAGTGGTAGGGGCGGTAGTGGTAGGGGCGGTAGTGGTAGAGGGCGGTAGTGGTAGGGGCGGTAGTGGTAGGGGCGGTAGTGGTAGATGGCGGTAGTGGTAGGGGCGGTAGTGGTAGGGGCGGTAGTAGTAGAAGCGGTAGTGGTAGAGGGCGGTAGTGGTAGATGGCGGTAGCGGTAGAAGCGGTAGTGGTAGGGGCGGTAGTGGTAGGGGCGGTAGTGGTAGATGGCGGTAGTGGTAGGGGCGGTAGTAGTAGAAGCGGTAGTGGTAGAGGGCGGTAGCGGTAGAAGCGGTAGTGGTAGGGGCGGTAGTGGTAGGGGCGGTAGTGGTAGATGGCGGTAGTGGTAGGGGCGGTAGTGGTAGGGGCGGTAGTGGTAGGGGCGGTAGTGGTAGATGGCGGTAGTGGTAGGGGCGGTAGTGGTAGATGGCGATAGTGGTAGGGGCGGTAGTGGTAGGGGCGGTAGTGGTAGATGGCGGTAGTGGTAGGGGCGGTAGTGGTAGGGGCGGTAGTGGTAGGGGCGGTAGTGGTAGGGGCGGTAGTGGTAGGGGCGGTAGTGGTAGATGGCGGTAGTGGTAGATGGCGGTAGTGGTAGAAGCGGTAGTGGTAGAGGGCGGTAGCGGTAGAAGCGGTAGCGGTAGAGGGCGGTAGTGGTAGGGGCGGTAGTGGTAGGGGCGGTAGTGGTAGGGGCAGTAGTGGTAGATCCGGTCGCAGTAGTGGTAGAGGGTGGTAGCGATAGAGGCGATAGTGGCGGTGTCGTGTATCCGTCTCGTGCCTGTGCGTACGACGACGACCCGCACGCTCTCCCCGCTGTAGAAGCGCGTCTGCACCACGTGCGTGCCGCAGAACACCACGTGCCGCTTGTGCGCTTCCGCGTCGAAGAACTCGTCCTGCCCCGTCGCGTCACTCGCCGGGCGCGGCAAGCTCGTCTTGGTGACGGGGACGCTCTCGCCTGCCAGCGGAGACGACCACGGTGGTTGTGATCAAGATGATGATGGTGGTAGTGGTTGTGATGATGATGATGGTGGTAGTGGTGGTTGTGATCAAGGTGATGATGATGGTGGTTGTGATGATGATGATGGTGGTAGTGGTAGTTGTGATCAAGATGATGATGGTGGTAGTGGTTGTGATGATGATGGTGGTGGTAGTAGTGGTTGTGATCAAGGTGATGATGATGGTGGTTGTGATGATGATGATGATGGTGGTTGTGATGATGGTGGTAGTGGTTGTGATGATGATGATGGTGGTAGTGGTTGTGATGATGATGATGGTGGTGGTAGTGGTTGTGATGATGATGGTGGTGGTAGCGATTGTGATGATGGTGGTGGTAGCGATTGTGATGATGATGATGGTGGTGGTAGTGGTTGTGATGATGATGGTGGTGGTAGCGATTGTGATGATGGTGGTGGTAGCGATTGTGATGATGATGGTGGTGGTAGTGGTTGTGATGATGGTGGTGGTGGTAGTGGTTGTGATGATGACGATGATGGTAGTGGTTGTGATGATGGTAGTAGTTGTGATGATGATAGTGGTGGAAGTGGTTGTGATGATGATGGTGGTGGTGGTTGTGATGATGGTCGTGGTGGTTGTGATGGTGGTTGTGATGATGGTGGTGGTGGTTGTGATGGTGGTGGTAGTGGTTGTGATGATGACGATGGTGGTGGTAGTGGTTGTGATGATGATGATAAAGAAGCACAAAGACACCGAGTCAGAACGTAAAAGATGCCTCAGTTTAACAACTTGAAGCTAAATAGGTCTCACTATTCATGAACAAAAAAAGAACCATAACTCTATCCCAAGGATGCCCTGGGGCTCGTTGTTGGTGCACTCGCTGCCCCTGGGGTTCATTGGTGGTGCTGGGCGCCTGTTCCTTCGTTCCAAGCTGCGCCACAGCGCTATTCTCACTCCCTCCCATATCTCCTGTGCCTCCCTGCCTCGGCATCCCACGTCGATCGCCCTTCACCAAGTTGCGTCATTTGGACGCTACTTATATACAAACTACTTTTATTCGTAAGAGCCATGATGAGAGTACTGAACCAGCGCCACTGAGAGGCTCGGTTCAAGCCCTCGGTTTGGATGTCTCACAGTGGGGTTCATGACGGTCTTGCGATTAAAATTGAGCCCACACCGCTGAGATTCTGGGCGCGAATCCGAGTTGACACCGAGGTTCTCAAGCGCAGCGGGCTGACGGAGCCTCGCTTTGAAACAGGGTGGTGAAAATGAGACACGGGCATGGTTATAAGAGTTACCGTGAGTCCCTGGAAAGAGCCCAGAGAAGTGAGAAGGAAGCAGCTGTGAGACTGAATGGATTCCTGATAGACTGACTCACTCACTCACTGGGTTATTGTCGACTGCTCCGGTGACTGACTAACTGGTTGAGTGATTGACAGATATCCTGACTTATTTATTGACTGTATTACTGATAGAACTAGAGACCCACTAATTATCTTACGGACTGACTCGCTCACTCACTGGCTTATTACCGACTGATCCAGTGACTGACTAACTGGTTGAGTGATTGACAGATATCCTGACTTATTTATTGACTGTATTACTGATAGAGCTAGAGACCCACTAATTATCTTACGGACTGACTCGCTCACTCACTGGGTTATTGTCGACTGCTCCAGTGACTGACTAACTGGTTGAGTGATTGACAGATATCCTGACTTATTTATTGACTGTATTACTGATAGAGCTAGAGACCCACTAATTATCTTACGGACTGACTCGCTCACTCACTGGCTTATTACCGACTGATCCAGTGACTGACTAACTGGTTGAGTGATTGACAGATATCCTGACTTATTTATTGACTGTATTACTGATAGAGCTAGAGACCCACTGATTATCTTACGGACTCGCTCACTCACTGGCTTATTGTCGACTGATCCAGTGACTGACTATCTGGTTGAGTGATTGACAAATATCCTGACTTATTTATTGACAATATTACTGATAGAGCTAGAGACCCACTGATTATCTTACGGACTGGCTCACTCACTCATTGGCTGGCTTATTACCGACTGATCCAGTAACTGACTAACTGGTTGGTTGATTGATTGACAGATATCCTGACTTATTTATTGAGCGAGAGAGCAAATGATTATATAACTGCACATACTGAACAGCTCACTCACTAAGTCACTAGCTAAGGTGAATGACTGTCTTTATTTACGGACTGGCTGATCGTTTACTGACAAACCGACCTGAATGATTGCCAAGCCATGTGAATGAATAACTGAGTGATTAAACGATCGGCTGACTGATTGGGAGACTGCGTGAGCACGTAAGCGAGAGAGTGAGTGAGCAAGTGAGTGAGCAAGTATGCGAGCGAGCGACTCGCTGGCTGACCTGTGAGCATGCTCTCGTTAACGATGCAGCTTCCGCTAATGAGAGCTCCGTCGCATGGCATGATGGTCCCACCGGGCGGGATCACCATCACATCTCCCGGAACCAACTCCGTGGACAGGATCGACTCCGGGTCTGGGTGAAGTGAGGACAGAGAGATGAGCGCACACGCACGGACGTACACAGATACTAATACACACTCACGACACAGGTACATGCAGACACATATGCACACTGAGACGCACAGATACAGAGACAATTATAGAATCACAAACAGAGAGACACAGATGCACATTTGAGACACATACACACTTACATACTATAGCCTTTATTAGACTGTTGGGGCAAGTGCTGTTAGCAAGCTCCTAATAATCTAGTTGTTTAAGAGAGCCACACGGAGTCGTACAACTCTTTTTCAGGAAGCTCCTGCTGCCGCTGCTACGTATTGGGTATTTATCTTAAGAAGGTTTCAGCCAAGTAATGACAAGCTGTGTTTATTATACACGTGGGAGGAAACCGGAGCACCGGGAGAAAACCTGCTCCTCACGCGCGGGGGGTAAACAAAGCTCTATCCCCGTAAAGTGTCTCCCCCGTCTCTCGTGTCTTGCCACACTGTCCCTACCCATCCTCTCTGGTCTCAGTCTCTACCGTCCCTCTCTGTGTGCCTCCCTCGCCCTGCGCCCAGTCTCGCTTTCAATCCTTTTCCCTTCTCGCTACCCGTCACTGGAACCAACTCCCACTGCACGTAAAACAATCATCTTCACAATAACCCGTTTCTGATCCTTCCTTAAAACAACCCTCATCTCTTCTCCCCGAGCCCATCCTACTGCTACTCCCTGCCCCGTTCACAGCTACGACCAGGCATACTCCAACCCCTATCACTACCCTTAACCCTACCCCAACCCCTTCTTACCAACTTCCACCTGTCCTCCTGTCACCATAACTACAACACCACTTTGATTAATAATCCCACTCTTTATTTTAATCACTTTCATCTAATGTACAATTTTAAAGCGCCTTGGACCAAGGCACTATACAATTATATATACGATAAGTATAAGCAGTGCCATTCATGCAAACTGCATCTCACAACACGGCACAATCCGCAACACACGGAAGAGCGCGAGTCTTTTTTTTACGTGTGGGAGGAGTACCCGGAGAAACCCCACACATGCGAGGGGGCAACACTCGATTCCATACCGATACAACAGGTGGAGTCTGCATTTACTGAACCGCCTTCTCATGGCGAGCCAGGCTACAGTACCTCCTGGACGTCCGCAGGAACGGAGTTTCACAATATTTGTGTGGTGATCCACCAACCGTCCTGCCTTTAGAGTGCTGGACTATGGGCCACGTGCAGAGCCAACACCACAGCAACACACACAGGGACGCTTACCTTTCCCTGGACGGCAGACGACCACCCCGACCACGTTGTGAGCTTCGACCATGTCATGGAGCATCAAGTATTGCTGCTCTCACATACACACACACACACAAAGACAAAGACCCTCCGTATAGCCATAACAGACTGTTGGGGCAAGTGCTGTTAGCGAGGAATCATTGTAGGCCGACACGGCGTACGAAGGGGTGGGTGGCCAACACCACGCCCGGCCGCCTCTGTCTCCCTAGTGGCGATATTTACACATCACACCAAGAAACTCGTTTGAGGCTGAATCAACCTAGAGGAGGCCCAGGACCGGCTCAGATAATTCTCACTGGTGTTGGCTGTGAGTGGGAATCGAACTTGGGTCGTCGGGTTCGTAGCGCAGTGTGCTAACCACTACACACTACCACTCCTCACACACACACATTACACATACATACACATAGGCATATAGCGAGCACCTATTGCGGGTGGCCAGCATCACGTCCAACCACCTTTGCCTCAATCCAGTACGGTACTGATGTTGTTTACACACCGCACTAGGTACTCATTTAAGGCTGAGTCGACTTCAGGGAAGCCTAGGACCGGTTCAGATACTCGGTGGTGGTGGCTGTGCAAGTGGCCTGTAACCCAGCACTGTGGCGGCAAGGGTTGGTGGACCGCATAAATGCTGCGATACTCTCTTCCCGAGTGCATTGAGCTTGCTATTTTGCTATACCCTGGTTTATCAGACAGCAGGATAGCAAAGTGTGCACTAATATGAAATGTGCCTTCTGTATTGGATACAATGTTGCAACCCCCTTGCGTGGGTTTTCTCCAGGTGTTCCAGTTGCCTCTCGTGTGTGTGTATAAACACTCAATAATTAGCTGAAAACATCTTAAAATGTAGAGGACTGCAGAGCCTGGGCAATTGTTGCATTCGGTTCATGGCCTCCCTGCCTTCCAGCTCATCCGTAGCTCCTCGGCGGTTGTGGGATGCAATTTGCATGAACGACACTCAATAAAACTAAACATTATTCTCATCCCTTCTAGCCATGCACAAGCCCACTGACTTTTCTTAAGTTTGAATCACATCGTCAACCTGCGCAGAGCTCTCTAAAATGCTCAAACGAATGTTAGAAAGCGTGACAGAATTCCATGCATATTGCACGGTTTTGTCTTTCGTGTGTCGACTTAAAACGGATGTTTTTAGGGGGGGGGGGGGTCTCGTAGTTTTCGTGACAGCACGAGACTGACACATGGCGGTCATATTTTCCAGGCACGACAGCTAATTAACCCTTTGGGCTCCTTTGAAATACAATGCAATTAGAAAAAAATATAACCAACGCCCTGCAACGTTCTGCTGGTTTACGGCCGCTCAGACTGGCTGCCACTGACGCAAAACTGATAACGGAGGAGAGAGAAAAAATGTGCTTGCTTTGGCGACAAACGGCGAACTTTGGAGTCGTGATCTCTCCATCAGCTGTTCTCTCTCCCTCTCAGCAACAACAGCAGCAATAAGTGGGCAGCGTCAAGGTCTGGGGGCAGCTCCGCTCAATGGCGAGCCACTTCAAAGTTAAGGGTTCAAGTCCTGCTAAAGTTGCTTTGCTATTAATAGCCATCTATGGTGGAATAACCTCCCCACCACCTCTCCCCACACATCCCACATCCTATAACCTTTCTTCCCTCTCCAATCCCATCCAATGGATTGCTGCGATTTCAGGGTGGTGATGCGATTACTTTTTTTGTCTTGGTTGTACTGCCTCGCTTGTCGTGTGTCATATCTGTACTGACAGGTCTGCAGCATCTTGTTTGCTCGGTCTCTTCTGTATAAATTCTAGATTTGAAGTTTTCGTGACTGCAAGGATCCATACTTTTTGTTGTTTTCGGTAAAGTCACGTAGGTGAAAAATAAAGTAAATTAAAATGAAAACAACTAAATTAAATCACGACGTTTCGGAAGCAACACAATCCTCCATCTTCAGGTGGAACCGCTTGTGTTGCTTCCGAAACGTCGTGATTTAATTTAGTTGTTTTCATTTTAATTTATTAAATGTTTTACCTACGTGACTCTTCTGCATTGTCCGTCCTTTTTTATACTTTCTGCCTCACTCTGCCACGTCTGTGCTGTCTCACCTGGACCGTCTGTCCCTCTACACCACCTTGTGGGTCTCTCACCTGTATCGTCTGTATCGTCTGTGCTCTAAAAGCTACCTTGTATGTCTCACCTGGACCGTCTGTCCCTGCTACACTGCATTATGCGTTTCCGCTGTACTGTCTGCATCATTCTGTCTGGTTTTTTCTGCACATTAGATCCGACCGTTAGCTTGGGGGCAGTTGACACGGCCCAGCAGTGGAGCATTTGCACACTTTGAGCAGAGGTCCACGGTTCAAATCCAACAGGCCGCCCTGGTGACTACTGCGGTGTGCATTAACACTAGAAATACTACTGCTACTACTGTGCCCCATCTGTTTCACATTGGACTTTAAAGATCCCCTGGCATTATTTGAAACTAGCAGGGTAGTGGGTGCCCGGTGTCACGGGCCAAAATTGGCAAACTTTAAAATGTACTCGCAAAATTACTCAATTGGGATGACACACAGCAGCAATCTTCGCCCCTTGCCGACAGAATCATGTCCACTTGTAGGTGCCGAGCCGACTTGTGCCCTTCGATTGTGTCGAGATGAGATGCGAGTTACTTTTCGCGCGCACAACGCGCTCCAAGACGCCCCGGCGTCAAACACAAATCGATTTTATTGTAAACAGCAGCAGCAGCAATGGAGAAAAAGTGCAGCGGTCCTCATTGCACGTTTGTAAAGTCTCCACTCACTTAAAAAAATGGATTGGGAAATATCCAGACAATGATATTATAGCGGTCGGAAGAGACACCGTGGCACAGTTTTTCAAATGTTATGGTACAAAACCCATTGTTATTAATAATTAACAAGTTATGCTTTTGCCCGTTAAATAGGTCATGAAAAATACAGTCGACAGACGCACGACGAACACCCACTGTGTGCTCATTCTTATCCATGCACCTTGCAGACATAAACAAAGACAAAGATTCCCCCCCGTGTAGCCTTAACAAACTTTTGGAGCAAGTGTTATTAGTGAGCACCTATGAAGGCCGGCATGGCACGCGAAGTGGTCTGTGGCCAGTGCCACGCCCGGCCGCCTTTGTCTCCCTAGTGACAATGTTTACACAGGAACTGAGGCTGAGTCAACCTAGGGGAGGCCCAGGACCGGTTCAGATAACCGGCACTGATGTTGGCCGCGAGCGGGAATCGAATTCGGGCCGCCGGGTTCGCAGCGCAGCTCGCTAACACTGCTACACTATCACCCTACCCCAGACATAAACATGCGCTATGCCCCCCCCCCCTCCTTTTAGCCTCGCAGGGTGTTCAGGGCATCTGCGGTCAACGAGCACCCTTTGAGGACAGCACGGGGCAAACAAATAATGGGACGGTGGCGACACCGGCTTGGCATGTGCCCAGCCGCCTCGCCCCCCAAGCAACTCACCAGAGATGGGGCATCCTCAGAGATGGTGCGCTTCCCCATCTCTCTCAAAGGTCTCTCCGTCTCCCTCCATATATCTCCGTGTCTTTCTCCCTATATCTACGTCTCCTTCCTCCCTGTCAATCTCGCCGTCTTTCTCTCTTTTCGTGTGTGTGTGCTTCTCTCTGTGTCAGTGTATCTCCCCGTTTCTCTTTCTGACTCTCTGCCCCTCTCTCTCAATCGTTCTGTCTCTCTCCCTCTCTGTTTCCCCGTCTCTTCCATATCTTACTTCTCTCTCTCTTCGGCTTTGTATGTGTAATAAAAGGACTCAGACACTTCTTGCTGACTCCGTGTCCTTTATTTGGGGTTCGCGTTCTCCTTCCCACACGGCACTCCTCCTGAGACTCTCTCCCTGGCAGCCCCACATCTGCCTTCGCTCCCGTAGCCTTCCACGCTCCTGCAGCTCCGCTGCAGGCTCTTGGTACAGCCCTCTGGCTGCTCCCCCAGCAGCTCCATCTCTGCTCCCTGTTCCTCCGTGCGTGGCGATCTCGCCACCTCCCAATGTCAGCCCTTCGTGGCCTCTATGGCTATCTCGCCATTTCCTACCTCAATCCTCCACTCTCTCTTCCACCCCGCTGGCTGGCGCCGTCATGAGCCCCTCAGCCACCAGGCTGAGGCACGGCGACCACCCAACGTGTTCACCACCCTTCACTCCCCCGACTGACCCAGATAGCTTCCTGTCTCCCCGCTATAACTTCTCCCCCACGTCACCCTGACTCCTCCCTCTCGGATCGTCATATCCACCCCGCCCATTTACGCCCGCATTACACTACCCTCCCCCGTAGAGAAAATCCCAGCCGTCCTCGGCTGAAACAGAACAAAATAATGCGGGCGAAGGCATCACAATCAGGAGTCCCCCAGACACAACGGAGATTATAACAACAACAACACAAGCAACGACTCTTCCTGCTCTTGCCCACCAGCAGTCCTCCCTTGAGGACCAGCACAGACATCGCACGTACACAGCATGTACCCATGGTCACTCTCAGCAACCCAACAAAACACCTAATCACACACCCTCGCGTGGAGAGAGCCACGCTCCCCAGCGGTAACGTTTAACTCGCCCTAACCCCCACCGTGGTCGTCAACCCACAGCAACATCCACTGACCATACTCTCAGCTAGTGCAATTTCGGGGATGAGCAGCAACTCGGCCATGCTCCTCCCTTACTATCCCATCAGAGATGGACACACACCAGCCTCGTATAGTCCGATGCTTTATAGCCCAGGGAAGGTTCATCCCCCAGCAATGCCAGACCCCCTGTACTCCCCCCACGGGGCAATGTTCTCTTATAGAGACAATAACACCCTAACCCAGATCCCGTGAGCCCCCGGCACACCAGGTTCAGTCTGCCACCGCACAACTGAACCATGACTCCCCGAGCCATATGAGCACATGGCCCATTAGTTTAAGACATACCACGGAGGTTTCGCCTCCGGGCTGTCAGGTCAGCCATCAGCCATAGGCCGATGTGACCACAACTCGTGCATCACCCAATCAACAATGGCAGGCATAACAGATGGAATATTTGCCCCACCCCGGTTTTTCCCGCGCGCTCAAAATGGCGTCCCCCTTCGCCCAGCGCGTTCGCGCAATCTCTCGCGCGCACTCAAAATGGCGGCCCTTTCCGCAAAGCGCATCGTCGCCATACCCCGCGTGCGCGCAAAATGGCGGCCCAACGTGCGAACACGTGGCCAGAAAATGGCGGCCCAACGTGCGAACACGTGGCCAGTTTTCTCCATTCGTGCACCCCAGCTTCCCTATGCTGGGGGTCACAAAATGCATCCCCCGTCTTATTGTAACAACCCCAACAACGATAGACGCACAGCCCCAGCTTGCTGCGCGCAGCAGTCATATCGGGGAATTTTTAACCAATATTTTACCAACCACATTAGTTACACAACCCAACTCGCAAAGCAACTCGTGGCTGCATGCAATCAACCAATACACGACGCCACTTGGCGCCCATTTACGATCCCATTAGCATTAACATCTAAGCCACCCACAACGGCGTCATCGCGCACTCTCATTTTCAAAAAGCTCAATTACCCCTATAATATACACGCAATCTCGTGTGCACAACACCCATACAACCAAATTTTTGGGTCCCCCTCCAATTTGTTACCAATTTCCAACAAGTACGCACAATATAATAACAATCTCAATTCCAATAGTCAACCACTGCATCGCACCCCATAACCATACAGAACGGTATAACAGCACATGCAATCAGCATATCGCGATCACACGCGTACATTTAAGCACAATAGCAAGCAGATCTGCAGGCAACCAACACACCATTAATCCTGTCGTAACTTTGCAGCAACAACACAATTATTCTCTCTCTTGCAACAATCGCATCGCACACAGCACCTCGCAGCACAATACACCAAAAAAATATATATATTTTTTTTCCAATTAAGCCCATCACACAAGGTAACCCACAAATAATACAGCGCAAGATACCCGACGCTCCCAAGTTAATAATTAACTTCACCATCAAGATAACAACTCCACGCAGCAGCGCACACACACAATTTGACACTCAGCAAATACAGCAGACTCTCCGTCCATTCTCAACACACGCACACACTTATATTGACACCAAGCAACAAGCAGATAGCGCGTTCATCGTTATTACACACACATACAGACAGTCCGAACCGCGCTCCGCACAATCGAGTCATAAGAGAAAACCAAAATAGCCCCCCCCCGGCCCTCGAAAGATGAGTGAGGTGTGTGTTAAGGCCGGGTGCGTATCGTTATGACTCGCCCGGGGCTGCAGCAAGAAGAGGACGGCAGGGTGGCAACTTGAGACGCCTCGCAGAACTCGTTCGGCGACTTGACGGCTCCGTTGTCATGCACCCGAGCCAGGACGGGAAGCTCCCGCCCCAGCAGCTGCAGCATCGGCGTCTTCTCCTCGCAGCACCCCCTCGAAAAACAGCAGCTCACAGCAGGCTGCTCACCCCGCGGCACCTCCAGATGGCAGCGCAAGGCTGCCTCTCCGCCGCGATGTTGAAGATGGCGGCGTCCTCCCGCCGCGGTGAAGACAAGATGGCGGCTTCCCGCCGTTTCTCCCCTGCCACGCCCAAGATGGCGTCTTCGTGCCACGTGGCAATGGCGCTGGCAGCGCAGGAAAGGCAGAGGCCTGCGGATCACCACCGGGCCTCCCCGACGTCGTCCTCGGCGTGGTGAACTCACACAGTCGCGCCAGCACGATTTTCAAGGTCCCCATCTGCATCACCATCTGTCTCCATCGTAAGTTGGCATCCTCCGGCACAGACAGGTCCACCGACGCGGCGACACCTTGCTCACCCGGACCCGTACTCGTTCCAGAACGGATCTCCTCTTCCATCGCAGGCAGGTCCACTGTCTGAGGAAGGTCGTCGTCGTCGGATGATGTAGCAGGAATATTTTTTTTTTCTTCTTTCTCTCAGTTGTTTTGAGATGCCGTTTCACTTCTGACTCCAGTGTAATAAAAGGACTCAGACACTTCTTGCTGACTCCGTGTCCTTTATTTGGGGTTCGCGTTCTCCTTCCCACACGGCACTCCTCCTGAGACTCTCTCCCTGGCAGCCCCACATCTGCCTTCGCTCCCGTAGCCTTCCACGCTCCTGCAGCTCCGCTGCAGGCTCTTGGTACAGCCCTCTGGCTGCTCCCCCAGCAGCTCCATCTCTGCTCCCTGTACCTCCGTGCGTGGCGATCTCGCCACCTCCCAATGTCAGCCCTTCGTGGCCTCTATGGCTATCTCGCCATTTCCTACCTCAATCCTCCACTCTCTCTTCCACCCCGCTGGCTGGCGCCGTCATGAGCCCCTCAGCCACCAGGCTGAGGCACGGCGACCACCCAACGTGTTCACCACCCTTCACTCCCCCGACTGACCCAGATAGCTTCCTGTCTCCCCGCTATAACTTCTCCCCCACGTCACCCTGACTCCTCCCTCTCGGATCGTCATATCCGCCCCGCCCATTTACGCCCGCATTACATATGTATGGTTTAGAGAGGTGGGGGGGGCCGGGGGAGTGAGGAGTTGGGATAGGGGAGGGGGTTGCTCACCTTTCGGATGGAGTACAGCGAGGTGCCGATGGAGATGAAGGACATGATAACAATGGCCGAGGCGTAATAGTAGTACTCGTCCGACATCCACAGCGCCACGCTGAACGCCTGGAAGATGTAGAACGGGTTCAGCACCTGTACAGGGACACGTGGGGGGAGCACGCGGGCACACACAGGGGGGACATGGTAGGGATACGAGGGGCATACGAGGGGGGCATGGGGGGAACACACAGAGGCATCAAGGGAGGAACACGAGGACAACGCAGGGAGAATAGACACAACACGGGGACACACAGGGGCACAGTGACACACGGAGGCACACGGGGGCACACGGGGACAAATGAACACACGCAAGAGAAGGAATGGGAAGAGAGAGCTGCCACTGGGGGTGCCCTCCTTTCAATGTGTGCAGGGATGAGACGTAATGCAAGTCGTGGCGAGACTTTGTCCGGCCTATGTGGAAATACCGCCTTAAAAAAACATTTAATGTTGCCATCGTTGCCACGCGATGGAACGGGTTGCAGGGGTGATGGGCGAGGTGCATGCACGTCAGGAGATTTCACACGAGCCTAAACTCTTGACTAAACGATGTTCATTTTACCATGTAAGGATATACAGATATTTTACTGGTAGGAACCTCCTGGTTACACCAACCCACAGGGGATTATTGTGTCCGTCCGTCATGCATCAAAAGATGGGAGGGGTGGGGCTGGGTGGAGAGGGGAGGGTGGGGAAGGGCTGGGTGGGGAGGGTGGGGAGGGGCTGGGTGGGGGGTGGGAGGGGTGGGGCTGAGTGGGGAGGGGCTGGTCACCCCGTGGTGCCCTTATAAAACTCAACGTTTAACCTACTCACGCCGGCTTGTGCCCGCCCTCACAGTCGGGCATATTTTCTGAATACACCACGCCGCCGTTGACCCTGGCCATTGACCGAGCAACCCAACGTTCCTACCAGCTCCCTCCGCAGGAATGTGTTATTTAGAAGCGACCTGGTCACAAATGATAGCTCAACCAAGTGGCTCTTAACGTGTAAATATATCAGAGCCAAATACTCTGAAAACACGTTGTTTATAAATGTTTGAGGGAAAAAGAGGAGGACCCTGAAAAAAATCCACGCGACCACGGGGAGAACACGCAAACTCCAAATATACGGGCGTCAAGGTCGGGATCGAACCCATGACCCTCCTGTATACCGGGAGAGGTAGTTAACATCTCTCGCCACCGAGACACCCAAGACCAGGAGCCTCTTCTCCCATGTGCTCACGTGCACCACGAGGAAGCTAACATCAAACCCGGAACACAACAGCGCAGCAATTAACACAACAGTCTGTGCCAAACGAGGTAGCAACGATGTAGCAGCTTACACACAACCCCTCTTCGCAGCTTCTCCACGCAGCAAGGCGTCAACACAACAGCCTCTTCACATACCGAGTTATTTGTTGTCATCCCCAAGCCCAGTCTCATTTTGTACGAGGTAGACGAAGGGGTGCGCGTAGGGCGGGAGAGGAACGTTTCTCCTTGCATCCCGAAGACGAGCAAGAGTTCCAGTGGCCGTCTTCCCGACAAGAGGTGAGGGGCCCTTAAGAGTCGTCTCATGGCGCAGAGAAACATCCCTAGCCTGCCCATGCAGCCTGCACAGCACCCACATCTTACAGGACGGAGACGGGGCTTGTGGCTGACAATTGTTATCACCGTACGAGGCGATGCTATGCTCGACTCACACCGAGGGGGCCCGCTGCTGTGCCTGCTGCTGCTCCTGCGCCTGCTCCTACTGCTGCTGCTACTACTGCTACTGTGCTTGCTGCTGCTACTGCTGCTACTGCTACTACTGCTGCACTGCTGCTGCTGCTGCTGCTATTGTGCCTGCTGCTGCTGCTCCTGCACCTACTGCTGCTGCTGCTGCTACTACGCCTGCTGCTGCTGCTACTACGCCTGCTGCTGCTGCTACTGCGCCTGCTGCTGCTGCTCCTGCTGCGCCTGCTGCTGCTGCTGTGCCTGCTCCTGCTGCGCCTGCTGCTGCTGCTGTGCCTGCTCCTGCTGCGCCTGCTGCTGCTGCTGCTACTGCTGCTGTGCCTGCTGCTGCGGTAGCCCATTGGCCGCGCACCTCTTTGAAGAGCAGCTTGAGGTGTGACGGCACCTTGACAGCGATCTGGTTCTCCTCGTAAAACGTGCGCCTGCACGCACACAAGCACGCACACGAGCACGCGCACACACACGAGCACGCGCACACACACACACGATAGCAATTAACGACGATGTTGCACGCGCCATTGCTATAGAGCAGCGGTTCTTAACCTAGGGTGCACGCACCCCCTGGGAGTGCGAGATGCCCTTGATGGGGGTGCGAGACATGGCAAGATTTTTTTAGAATGTAAATTATCGAAACACAAATTAAGCACGGGCACGTAAGTACAACTACTTTGTTTCATCAAACCTATGTCTTTATTAACATTCACATTTTTTGTTTACGATTGAGAACCAAAGGGGTGCAAGGCTGCAGCAAAGGTGAAGAACCACTGCTCTAGAGCAAAGCTTTCGCGCGAAGGAGGGTAGGTCGCACCGTAGGGAGCGAGCAATGTAGCTACGTGGAATCTCAACCGAGTCATTTTTTTTAATTTGACCAAAATTTAGACCGTGCCGCCGACACGCAGTGGCCTCCTCGTTTCGAATGGCGGCAGGAGATCTTCACCGTCGAATGTGAAGCAGACAGCGAGAATTTGATGCTTCTTACACCCACATCATTAATGTGCCGCAATAGCAAGATGATAACTTCCTCGACTGGTACGAGGGAGATCGTAGCTTCCATGCCGACCGTGATGCCCGAACATTGGAGTTTTCAAGCTCCCCTCCATGGTCGTGTGAATTCTTCTCCGGATCCTACAGTTTTTCCCTCCATATTTCGAATCAACATGCATTTAGAGTATTTGGTTGCTATACATTTACACGTGATAAGCCACTTCATTGGGGTATCATTTGTGGCCAGGTCGCTTCTGAGAAAGAGCTATGCAGTTCAGTTGGCCTTACCTCGTAAAAAATTTAAAGTTTTGTTTAGTGTGCTTGTGACGGACTGTGCTTGTGGGTGTGCACATTTGTGAGCCAACTGGGGGGAGTGGTGGCGTCGTGGTTGGAACAAACTTCGCGAGGAAACTGGCATCCCGAGTTCACCTCCCGCTCACAAACAAAAACAGTGGCGAATATCTGCACCGCTCCTGGGCCTCCCCGAGGTCGACTCGGCCTTAAATAAGTACCTGGTGCAGTGTATGTGTGTACCATCAGCGCTGGGGAGACAAAGCTTGCTGGGTGTGGTGCTGGTCACCCACCCCCTCGTGCACTGTCACGGCCTTCAAAGCTGCTCATTACCAGCACCTGCCCCAATAATCTGTTAAAGGCTATACGGGGGGACTTTATACTTGTCTTATGTGAGCATATATATGTGGGCTCTTTGTGCCACAGCCTATGTTCACCGCCGTTTCCCCTTATACAAAAACATCATGGTGCAGGATTAGGGGAACCGATCTGAAAAGTGTCAGTAAACCCATTTGGTGTGGCGTACCATTGCATATCAGCCTATCCCCACCCACTGTGTACGAATGTGTGCGTAGATGTGCGTGTACCGTGCCGTCCTTCATAAGTGCTCGCTAACAGCACTTGCCCCGAAAGGCAGTTAAGGCTACACGGGGGGGGGGGGGGGGGGGGGGGGGGGGGGGGGGGGGGGGGGTCTCTTGGTGTGTGGAGAGCAGTAGTGTAGTGGTTAGCGCGCAGCGCTACAAACCTGGCGGCCAAAGTTCGATTCCCGCTCATGGCCAACACCAGTGATGATTATCTGAATCAGTCCTGAGCATCCCCTAGGTCGACTCAGCCTCAAATGAGTACCTGGTGCGGTGTGTAAACATCGCCACTCGGGAGACAAAAGGCAGCCGACCATGGTGCTGGCCACCCACCCCCTCGTTTGCCGTTGCCAGCCTCGCTAACCGCACCTGCCTCAACAGTATATGAAGGCTACATGGGGGATCTTTGTCTTTGTGTGTGTGTGTGTGCCGGCGTACGTACAGGTACTGCTGCGCTTCCTCATGGAGGCCGTGCGAGCGGGTCGAGTAAAACGCCGCCAGAGGAACCGCCTCCTCCAGACCCCTGGCAGAGGCGACGAGGACGACAACAAAACACTCGGTGTGGGGGAGAGAGGGCGGCCGAGGACGACAACGAAATACTCGGTGTGGGGGAGAGAGGGCGACGAGGACGACAACGAAACACTCGGTGTGGGGGAGAGAGGGCGGCCGAGGACGACAACGAAATACTCGGTGTGGGGGAGAGAGGGCGACGAGGACGACAACAAAACACTCGGTGTGGGGGAGAGAGGGTGGACGAGGACGACAACAAAACACTCGGTGTGGGGGAGAGAGGGCGACGAGGACGACAACAAAACACTCGGTGTGGGGGGTATAGAGGGCGACGAGGACGACAACAAAACACTCGGTGGGGGGGAGAGAGGGTGGACGAGGACGACAACAAAACACTCGGTGTGGGGGAGAAAGGGCGGCCGAGGACGACAACGAAACACTCGGTGTTGGGGGTGAGAGGGCGGACGAGGACGACAACGAAACACTCGGTGTGGGGGGAGAGAGGGCGGACGAGGACGACAACAAAACACTCGGTGTGGGGGGAGAGAGGGCGGATGAGGACGACAACGAAACACTCGGTGTGGGGGGAGAGAGGGCGGCCGAGGACGACAACAAAACACTCGGTGTGGGGGGAGAGAGGGCGGCCGAGGACGACAACGAAACACTCGGTGTGGGGGGAGAGAGGGCGGCCGAGGACGACAACAAAACACTCGGTGTGGGGGGAGAGAGGGCGGCCGAGGACGACAACAAAACACTCGGTGTGGGGGAGAGAGGGCGGCCGCGGACGACAACAAAACACTCGGTTTGGGGGAGAGAGGGCGGCCGAGGACGACAACGAAACACTCGGTGTGGGGGGAGAGAGGGCGGCCGAGGACGACAACAAAACACTCGCTGTGGGGGAGAGAGGGCGGACGAGGACGACAACAAAACACTCGGTGTGGGGGGAGAGAGGGCGGCCGAGGACGACAACAAAACACTCGGTGTGGGGGAGAGAGGGCGACGAGGATGACAACAAAACACTCGGTGTGGGGGGGGAGAGGGCGGCCGCGGAAGCGTTTGTGTGTTCAGAAGCCGCTCGTAACAAAACGTGCGTAGAAGAGGACAAAACAAGCAGACAAAGCCGTCAAGAATTTAACAAGTCCGCCCGTCAAATAAGGCAACCGACGGAGCAGGTCGTTAATTAACAATCTAATTAGCACACCCATTCATCAATTAAGAAAACAGATACACGGTAACTTACCAGTCAGCAATGTTATTCGTGACGACGATTAACCTCTTAACACAAAGCAAGAAATTCATTCAAGTTTCCAGCAGATGAACTCGGCTATAACAGTAGCACTTTTTACTGCTGGCCTGTGATTAAGCACGTGTGACTGACTGCGTGTGACTGCCACTAAGTGGGCGTGTGATGCTTCACGTGGCCTGAAACCGCACATAGCCGCACATAGCCGCCACTTCGTAGTGAATGGCGGTTGTTATTGTTGTTGTGTGTGACTGTGAAGGTGTTTGTATGTGTGACTGCGTGACTGCTGTGAGCATATGGGTAGCGGTAGTATAGTAGTTAGCGTGCTGCGCTACGAACACAACTACCCAACCTTGCTTCCCGCTCTCGGCCAACACAAGTAACGATTATCTAAACCGGTCCTGGGCCTCCCCGAGGTCAACAAATAAGTTCCCGGTGCGATGTGTAAACATCGCCACTAGGGAGACAAAGGCGGTCGGGCATGGCATTGGCCACGCACCACCTTGCGTGCCATGCCGGCCTTCATAGATGCTCACTAACAGCACTTTTCCCAACAGTTTGTTAAGGCTATACGGGGGATCTTTGTCTTTGTTGTGAGCATGTGTGACTATCAGAGAGAGTGCATGCATGCAAGTGTTTGGATGTGTGTAGATAAATGGCGGTTGAGTGTGCTTATGCATGCACGTGTGTATTTTTGGGCGTGCACATGTGAAGTATTGGAATTGACGGCAGGAACTTCTTGACGGGTAACACACTTTTATTAAATCTTTACGTTCACAATACAACGTGTGGTCTCCTTTCTTCCGACTACACACTCCACTAATCTCGTGTAAACTCTATGCCTCTGGCTACACACGCTACACTTGACTCGTGTAGACCCTATGCCTCTGGCTACACACAATACACTCGACTCGTGTAGACCCTATGCCTCTGGCTACACACTACACTCGACTCGTGTAGACCCTACGCCTCTGGCTACACACTACACTCGACTCGTGTAGACCCTACGCCTCTGGCTACACACTACACTCGCCTCTGGGTTACACAGAGTCCCGGTCCCGTTAGGACAGCGGGACTAGGTACCGCAGGGCCCTAGGTCTTCATCCCCGTCTTTATTCTTCGCTGGTTACATACTGCCCTTACGCCTGTGTGCATCCCCTTTTATAGCCCCTGCTCACGAGAGACGGAGCTGATCCGGACGTCGACGTGAGCATCGTTCCCTAGTGAACCAATCACGACGCACTCTCTCTACGATCCGTTTTCCCCAGCGCGTGTTAACACTCCTCTACCAATCACACCGCGCTGCCACCCGATCACTCCCTCTCAGCGCGTCACGGGCCCACAGCCAATCAGTACCCCGTAACCCACGACCCCGCGCTGACCCCTGATCCTCCACCGTCAGCGCGCGTCACCACCTACACAGCCAATCATTACGCGCTGGCATACGATCCCTAATCCCAGCGCGTATCACCTCTACATCACCCCCTCCCACATAGCTTGCAGCCGGCCCGGCTGTTAACCAACAACACAACCTAACGTCAACGCAGTAATAAAGAAACTCCACCTCCCAGTGTGCCCCGTAACGCAACAACAACAACACAACACAACACTTAAATATGAAGCAATATACAGCCCGACGAACAACACAATAAGAGCGAACACCCGAAAACGAACGAGCCACGTGTCTCTGTGACTAAACGCAGTGCCGAGGCGCTCCGTCTGCCACGACTCCTCACATGGTAGGTCACACAAAGTAGCGCGACCTAGCGCGAGTCCGTCTGGCCGGTCCGTCGTATGGGACGGGACGCTGGCATACGTCCGGTGGCTCCGGCAGCTCTAGACGGCGCGGATCGGGCCTGGAAGGACCGGCCCCGCCGCGAAGATCCGGCCGCCGGTGGTCGGCAGCTGTCAGTTCCGAGACACCTGGGAGCGGATCAGGCGGAGACATGTGAGGAGCAGGCAAAGACAATTCCCCCTTAGGGTCGTCGGTCACGTCACATGCTCGGCCCTCACGACACAAGGGGAGGCCATATGGAGGCGAGAACGGTTTCAGTCGGGAGGGGTGGACGTACCAACGGCGTTTTCCCCATTTTATCTGAACGCACTGGGGGCGTGCAACCCGCACGACCTCCACGGGTCCCCGCCATGGCTTCAACAATTTAGGCGACGTAGCCAAAGGTGCCTGAGGGCAATGCAGCCAGGCCCTGTCACCTGGTTCCCAGTTGTGCACGGACACCTTCCGTGCACGCAACCGCTCGTTTGCAATTTGGTGAGCCCGCGAATTAAGCCGTGCGGCCTCCCTTGCCTCTGTCAGCTTATGAATGTTAAATTTAATATGCTCTGCCAATTTCGAATTAGTCCGTGGTGCGGGCAGACCCAGCTGCGTTTCCATGGGCGGGTCGGCTTCCCGACCGTACATCAGATAAAACGGGGAAAACCCCGTAGCTGCATGGGGGGCCATTCTATACGCGGCGAGGACCCCAGGAACCTGCAGGTCCCAATCAACATGTGCCTCACACACCTGCTGGCACAGCATAGAAGTCAATGTCCTGTTGAGCCTCTCAACCATCCCGTCCGTCTGCGGGTGGTACGGGGAGGTACGCACCTTCTTAGTACCCAACAGGTCGCACACCTCTTGCAGTAATTTACTCGAAAAATGTTTCCCTTGGTCGGTCAGCAAGCGTTCGGGAGCCCCCTTGTCCACTAACACCCTGACCTCGACCCCATCAATAGATCCGGTAACGACGGATGAACCCGCTGAGGCAGCCACTATTCTGTGCCCCAACTCCGACCATTTAATGTCCCCCCGGTCCCGGCCGAACCCCCCTCTCCGAACCGAATCCCCGAACTCTACTCGGCTCTCCCCCGCCGCAACGCGACGACCCATACGTGTCGAGTATGCGGGCCGAGCATGTGAGGTGCCGCGACTTGCCGGGGTTTGCAGGGATGACTTGGGGCCTTGTTCGTCGTCCAGCCGAGGTCCCATGGCGCGCTGACGTGGGGCGCGGCAACCGGAGGCCACGTGGCCCCGGAGGCCGCAGTTATAGCACGTGATGACAGTCGTCGGAGATCTCGGTTGCTCCAGCTTGCGGGCCGCTCGCAGAGGCGAACGGCCCCCCGACCTCCAGTCCCCCGGTCGTTCTGCGATGAACGCCTCCTCTCGTGGGCTGACGACTTGGGGCACGGTGACTACCGGGCCCGGAGCTGAGGCCACGGCAGCGTTGCAGACGACCCCCTGTTTACGTTGAAGGACCTCGTGCGCTTGTATGCTCGTAGCGACCCGTAAGGAAGAAATATCGGTCTCGTAGGCCGTGTTGATGGGGACCCCCAGGTCCTGCGCCAACTTGAGCAGTTGCTCCAAAACCATCGCATCTTGGCCCTCCTCGTCCATACGAGGGAACGCGGCGTCGGCGAGAGCAAGCAACGCCGTGCGGTAGGCGAGCAGTCTCCGTGTCCGCCTTCCGTCTTGCATAAAAATGATGGCGGCACGCCGAGGGAGGACCATAGACCTTGGCCATGAGAGCCAGCGCATCCTTGAGCGTGGAGCGGTCCGACCTGCGTGCGGACGTGAAGGCCGCGAGCGCGTTGTCGTCCAGCATGGCAGGCAGTGCCCGCAGTGCCGTAGCGTCGGACCAGGCGGACATCTCCTGATGCGCCAAAAACCTGCGCTGAAATTGGCTCCAATCCCCGCCTTCCGCCTTGAAGGCTGACAACGTGGGAAGGCGCTGTTGAAAGATGAAGTCGTCCTCCTCCCCGTGCTTCCTCTCCGCCGCCCCGTCGGTGTGTAAGATGGCGGCCCCAGTGGCGGGTGTCTGATGGCGGTCCGCAGCGCGCGTTGGTGACGTAAGCGGGCGCGCTTGGAGAACCGCTGCCACGTGGTGATGGCCGTTCCTGCCAAAAGTCGGCGCAGATGAAATGGCGGGAATCGCCAAGTCGTTTTGGCGGGAATCTGCGGGGCGACCCTGCAGAACGTCCACCGCCGTCCCCGCTCCTCCCGACGAGCTGATCTCCGCCAGGATGGACGCGGCGGCGAGCAGCAGCTCCGCCAGGCGGGAGTGCGCCTCGCGAAGCACGGCGTCGGTCCTCCGTCGCTCGTCCGGCGCCGTCGGCGGATCCTGCAGCGTGGGCAATTCCTCGTCCTCACCCCCCGATGCCAGCTGGCCCGAGTCGTCGAGGTTGTCCCCGCGGTCAATCCCGTGGGTCCGACGGGTCTTCCTTGTCTCCATGCTTGGAAGACCGTTTCACTTCTGACGCCAGTTGAAGTATTGGAATTGACGGCAGGAACTTCTTGATGGGTAACACACTTTTATTCAATCTTTACGTTCACAATACGTGTGGTCTCCTTTCTTCCGACTACACACTCCACTAATCTCGTGTAAACTCTATGCCTCTGGCTACACACGCTACACTTGACTCGTGTAGACCCTATGCCTCTGGCTACACACAATACACTCGACTCGTGTAGACCCTATGCCTCTGGCTACAAACTACACTCGACTCGTGTAGACCCTACGCCTCTGGCTACACACTACACTCGACTCGTGTAGACCCTACGCCTCTGGCTACACACTACACTCGCCTCTGGGTTACACAGAGTCCCGGTCCCGTTAGGACAGCGGGACTAGGTACCGCAGGGCCCTAGGTCTTCATCCCCGTCTTCATTCTTCGCTGGTTACATACTGCCCTTACGCCTGTGTGCATCCCCTTTTATAGCCCCTGCTCACGAGAGACGGAGCTGATCCGGACGTCGACGTGAGCATCGTTCCCTAGTGAACCAATCATGACGCACTCTCTCTACGATCCGTTTTCCCCAGCGCGTGTTAACACTCCTCTACCAATCACACCGCGCTGCCACCCGATCACTCCCTCTCAGCGCGTCACGGGCCCACAGCCAATCAGTACCCCGTAACCCACGACCCCGCGCTGACCCCTGATCCTCCACCGTCAGCGCGCGTCACCACCTACACAGCCAATCATTACGCGCTGGCATACGATCCCTAATCCCAGCGCGTATCACCTCTACACATGTATGGGCGTGCACAGTTGGGTAATGGTGTGCAGCGGCAAGCGCACCGCATTACGATCCCGCACCGCATTAGGAACCATATCTGAACCGGTCCTGCGCCTTCCCAAGGTCGACTTAACAGATTACCTCGTGTGGTGTTAAACGTCTGCCACGGGGAGACAAAGGTGGCCAGGCATGGTGGTGCTGGTTACACACCCCCTTGTGTGCTGTGCCAGCATTCATAGCCGCTCGCTGACAACGCTTGCCGCAAGTCTACTCATCGCTATATATGGGAGCTCTTTCTTTGCGTATAAAAAGACAAAGATCCTCTGTATAGCCGTCATAGTGTGCATACATAAACACACACGCGTATGTACGTGGTTGGTTGTGGGTATGTGTACGTGCACGACTGCTGTACACACCTGAGGCGGATGAACTTGTAATTCATGGGATCCCAAAGGTACTTGACGAAATGGTGTGCAAAGTAGCGGACCTGTGGTGGGCACGCACACACGCAAGGGTTCGTGAGCGGCGGGCTAGCGGCCGCCTAGCGCCGGGCAAACGGCAGGTGAGCGGCTGGAGAGTGGGGAGGCGAGTGGGGGGCGAGTGGGGGGCGAGTGGGGGGCGAGTGGGGGGCGAGTGGGGGGCGAGTGGGGGGCGAGTGGGGGGCGAGTGGGGGGCGAGTGGGGGGCGAGTGGGGGGCGAGTGGGGGGCGAGTGGGGGGCGAGTGGGGGGCGAGTGGGGGGCGAGTGGCGGGCAGGGCTGGAGCTCACGCTGTGCTCGTGCTCCGCGGATGCCGACGACGATGTTGGGCTCAGCAGACGAATGATGTCATCGGTCTCATCTGCCCCCATAGACAGCGGCTTCTGATTGGTGGAGGTGCTGACCATGTGACGCACTTTGACGCGGTACCAGATACTGAATTCGTCCTGCGCACGCGCACACACAAGCACGTGCACGCATACACCAGCACCCTCATGCGTGCAGACGCACTCGTGCGTGCACATTCAGCAATATGCTCATGTGCTGTCGTGGGTACAGCAGATGTGTGTGGGGACATACCTGCGCGAGTGCGTACATTCTTGTGTGTATATACACACACCTGTGTACATACCTGTGTGTGTGTGTGCCTGCATGCCGTGTATGTGCGAGACCTACGTGCACCGACACGCACAAATACTGTGGCGCACAGTAGCAATATGCTCGCACACAGCAGCAGCGCAAGTATGTGTTTGTGCGCGAGCATGCCTGCATGTGTGCATGTACACGCCGCCCGTAGGTCGACTCGGCCTTAATGGAGTACCTGCTACGGCGTGTAAAAAACATTCGCCACCTGGGAGACAAAGGCGGTCGTGCGTGGTGCTGGCCACCCACCCCCTCGTGTGCCGTTGCCGGCCTTCCATAGGTGCTCGCTAACAGCACCTGCCCCAAAAGTATGTCAAGGCTATACGGGGGATCTATGTCTTTGTACACGCCTGTATACGCAACCTGCGCACGTGTTTGCGTACCGCTGTGCGCAGCAGCAGGATGCCCGCTTGCTGCAGCGAGCAGCGCGAGCACGTCGCCCGCACGTTCCAGCGCGGCAGCCAGTAGAGCGCAAGGAGTAGCAGGCCGCCCGTGCACACGGCACCGACCCCCACCAGCACGAGCTTCCACGCGCACCAGCGGAAGGCGTGCACCTCCTGCACATTCACACGCGCACACACACACACACGCACGTGCGCGTTAACGCGGGGGGGGGCGAAGTCAACCAACATCGATCCACTGCTGCTTGAAGGGCGGTAACACGGCCTAGCGTTCACGCAATCACGGCTTTGAATCCAGCAGCCACGCCGATCATGACTGCAATTGTAATGTTCGGAATGATTTCGATTTAAAGCTTTCGTGACTGCAGGGATTCATCTTCTTGGTTCTTTCGGTAAAGTCACGTAGAAGGGAAATAATAAAATAATAAAAATAAAACATTATTAAATACAGCTGTCTTTCCGACAGCCCTGTTCACCTGAGGACGGCTGCTTGCATTGTGGCCGAAACGTCGTGAGAATTGTATTTTATTACGTTTTATTTTAATTATTTTATTATTTCCCTTCTACGTGACTTTACCGAAAGAACCAAGAAGCTCGGAATGATGTAACAATCTGTGTGCACCCTGTTCTGAACTCTTTCCCATTCTGATGACGTACCCATGGAAGTAATTCTTTTGTTTCTGGTTCCATTCCAATCACGTACACGCACGTTATTGGAACAAAATTGGAATAAGAAGTAAAACAACTTTATTGGTACAGAGGCTCCCACAAGGCCATGCGGGAGAGCGTCTGGTACAGCTTGGCGCCACCTATCATAGAGTGCGGTCGTGTCGCTACAGTTCTCTGCGGTGGGTACAATGCCTTTAAAAACAGCAGCGCTATGATTCTCTAAATAAAATTAACCCAGACGTCTCGGAATGGGAAAGGGTTAAGAAGAGGGACTGACCACCAGGGAATCCTTACAATTCTGCGGAACCTGTCCTGTGATCCTGACAGTAATAATGATGTCACATAGGGCAGCCTGCACAAAATTGCCACCCTCCCTCAGCAGTTCACTTGGGAGGCCATCTCTGCCTGGCACTTTTTCCCATCTCAGACTCTGGATCACTTTTCGTACTTCATCAACAGATGGCACATTAGCCAGCCACTCACAGGGGGTGGCTACTACCTCCAGCATGGAAGCCCCAGCAGGGTCAACCCCACCTAACCCCATGATCTTAACTTGGCTGAGGGGTTTCCCCTCCACAAAGACTTCACAGATGTGCTCAGAAAACCTGCAGACCTGTTCCTGGGGGTCAGATATCGTATCAGCACTCTTTTTCTTATAGACACAGTACTAGGTGTGGTGCTGCAAGTTATATACGAGTTATTTATGATCGTGAACTAATGAGGCAGTTTCCATCTCCTCAGCAACCTGCAAGAACCACTCATCCTTGCAGCGCTGCATGGCTCTGTCAACCTCTGAGCAAAGGCTTCGGGAAGCCCCTTATTCTCAGACGTGAGATGTTGTCGCTTTCTCTCAGCTAGCCAGAACACCTCCTCCGTTAGCCAGAGTTACAAGGGTGGTTTGGACTGCGTACCCACTGTAGCAATAGCAGCTGCATAAGCCAAAGCCCTGAACCTCACCTGTTTCCCCTCGGCATCAGGAAGAGAGGGGGAATGATGCCAACCCCAGCTGCAAGTGATGGTGACATTTTCACTTGCAACTCTCATTAGCTAGCCGAGACCAGGTTCTTATGGGTTTGAAATGGGTCCCAGGTGAATGACTAGCAACCACAGTGAAAGAATGGCAGGCGCATCTTACAGATGACAAGCCAATGATCAGCAGGTAGATCAGTCAAACGGTGGGTCCTGGTGTCAAGGACATGGGCCACATTTGCTATTCCATCCTTATATAGTGCAGAAGATGTTCTTGCTTGGATCCGGCATACACCCATGATGTTGTGTGGATGCTCCGATGGTGGAACAGCGTGTTGGCGATTACAAATCCATGGGCAGCACAGAAGTCTAGCAGCCTCCTAGCATTGTTATTGAACCGATCTAGTCCATGCCTTCCGATTACTCCAGTCCAGGTGCCTGTGCCATGACCCACTCAAACATTCTTTCTTCTTCTTTCTTAAATGTGGCTGATGTAGATGTAGAGCAACAACGACAATTTCACATTCAGGTGGTCAAACCAGATAACCATATCAGGAGCAGCAGAGTCTATCGCCGTGACGTCTCCTACGTATTTGTGGATGGGGCATTGCGTTGATATAAGTTGCAGGGTCTGTTCTGGGCGACCACAGTCGCACACTGGAGAGTTTTATAACTCAGCAATTAAAGTCACCCAACAAGATGACTATCCCGAGGGGCCACTTTAGCCAGCACCTAGGACAGGAGGTCACAGAAAGGCATCTGACTCATCTGGCTTGCCTGCATCCCACCAGTAAGCTGGAACTAGAAGCTCTCCCACACCTCACCGTGACGTGACACTCCAATGACCCCTTTGTTATTTTGTTTGTAAGTTTATCTGCCAGGGTGGTGGAGGACTTTCCACCCCTTGTAGTGTGCACACCCAGGTACGACACATGCAGTGAGTAAGCACATTTGTATGGCTGCTTATACATAACTGAGAGTTTTTCTGAAATCACCTGATAACCCACTAACTCTGTTTAGAAGTTAGGATTGTGTTGAGTCTGCAGATTGTGCTCATGTAAAAAGTTAATTATTATGGTTATTGTGCTATACCAACTATTAAGTGGCGTCTCAAGGTAAGATATAGTGTTGGTTATCTTGAATGTGCCATAATAAAGGTTATTTTGTTTGCGTTAGATCGCGTAAATATGTGTCGCGAAGCCACCACCACCCCACACATCCAATTAGTAAGGCTTGTCACCTGAACAAAATCTGCCAATTAGTTAATACTTCAACATTTACAATTCAACTAAAATTGTAAATGCCGTAGGTTTACTCTCCAACACACTGGCGTGCTGAACTAGTAACTAATTGACACATTTTGTTTACGTGACAGACCTTTCTAATGGGCTGTGTCGGGTGGTGGCTGGTTAATGACACATTTAAATTCACACAAGCGAACACAAAAAAAATATTACTACTTTTATTATGGACATTGGTCAGCGAAAGCCTACGCATTGAACTTCAATATGCCAGCATGAAGGCTTCGTTCTGCGACGGCCGGTGGCTGCCCTGTGCCGTCTGGGGCGACGGCTACTCCGCACGCCGGGTGCCCGCGCGTTCCGCTGCGCTGGTGCTCCCCGTTATTTCAGCTGCCATGGCTGACCTGGGACACGACCGGTGGCCCCTGGGACCTAGAGTCCAACGTGCAGCTGCCGTTGTTTCTCACTCACCGGAGGCATTGGTGTTATCTTCACTGATCCAGACAATTCTCTAGGCGCGGCAAACCGGTAAACAGTTTTCAACCGGGGGTTTTTATTTACGTACGGTTACAAACCTACTTAAAAACTGAACGAGTTCATCGGCGATGCTGCATTGGCAGTGGTACGCAAGCACAAACAACAACAAAAAGTAAAAAAAATCGTCAATGACACTGTGGCCTTAAAAAAGTATACAACAGGTGACATTTCCAGCAATGGCCTTTCTTTCAGAGCAAACAGCAAGGACACCTCTCTGGGTCCTCTCTGTGATGTACACCGATTATTTACTTTTACTCTCTAAAGCCACAGTATTAGAAACAAATGTGTCGAGTTTATTTCTATAAAAAACCAAGATAGTCCGCCAGTTCTGCATCCATCACATCCAGAACATCGATTCCTGCAGGAACATGAGCCTTTTCTTGGTTCTTTCGGTAAAGTCACGTAGAAGTAAAATAATAAAATAATAAAAATAAACCAATAAAATAATTCTCACAACGTTTCGGCCACAACGCAAGCAGCCGTCTTCAAGTGGAGAACAGGTCTGTCGAGAAGGCAGGGTCTGCCTTCTCGACAGACCTGTTCTCCACCTGAAGGCAGAGTCTGCCTTCTCGACAGACCTGTTCTCCACCTGAAGACGGCTGCTTGCGTTGTGGCCGAAACGTTGTGAGAATTATTTTATTATGTTTTATTTTTATTATTTTCCTTCTACGTGACTTTACCGAAAGAACCAAGAAGATGAATCCCTGCAGTCACGAAAGCTTTACATCGAAACATGAGCATCGTTGTACAATAATGACAAGCAAGCTGGTTGGTGGACCCATTGGGGTTCACGGTGGCCATGGCATAATAGCAATTGTTCAGGATCGAAGCCCAATCACTGGGTGTCTCTCGGTCTCTTAAAAGGACTCATTATGGCCCATCACTTAACCAGCATCACCACACTGCTGGGTCCAAGCTGTAACTAAAACTATTTTTTTTTTAACTTGACCAGTTAAGTCCCACTGAGCTTTATAGCTCGTTTTCAGAAGCGACCTGGTCACAAATGAAATCTCAACAAAGTGGCTTATCACGTGCACATTTATAGTAGCTAAATACTCGAAATGCGTATTGATTCTAAATGTGAAGGGGGAAAACCGGAAGACCCGAATTAAAATCCATGCGACCACGGGGAGAGAGACACGCAAACTCCAAATATACAGGTGTCAGGGTTGGGGTCGAACCTACAACCTCCTGTATAGCAGGTGAGATAGTTAACATCTCGCCACCACAGCGTCATTCTCTCTATCTCAGGTCATTTATAATAGCCATGCCAAGAAGCAATGAGGCCAGTATAAGTGAGACCCTGTGTTTAAGTCCAAGGGCTGTGGGTATCCGTTTCAATTACTAAGGCACTTAAGTGCCATATAAATGGCACCGATTATATTATTTGCAATGCATGCAAATCCCATTCAAATCAGATGCAGCATAAATGGGTACACACTACATTGAAATTGATTGGCAGGTGACATGCGGTGGGGTAAAGTGTGGGTATTTGACACCTCCAAAATATCTGTCCTCTAGAACTCCCTCTAGCAGAAGGCCCTTTGGCCCAACAGTGGTGTTATCAAGCAATTGCAAGGCTGCACTGTTACCTTGGCATGCAAATCAGACGCCAATGTTTTTCTAGGCAAAGGGAGCAAACAAAGCAGCGGGCGACGAGTCGATTTTTTTTGTATCTAACATTTGGTGGCAAATTGTGAGAATTCATCCGATCGCCCAGAGTGAATCAACACATGTTTA